GGCGGGGCCGCGGCGGCCCGCGGTGTCGGTGTGGCCGGCCATGGGGGAGGCCGGGCCGGCTGCGGGGCCGGGTGCGGGGCCGGGGCCCAGGGAGGCGCAGGAGCCCGAGGAGGACGAGGCGGCGGCGCCGGGCGGCACACGAGGGTGCCGGGTCGGATCCCGCGGCGGCATCCGGGTGCTGAAGGTGAGGAGGGGACCGAGGCCTCCGCCGCTCCGGGAGACTCGGTGGGGTCGGGAGGAGTCGGCTGCGGAACGCCGGGGACTTGCCCGCCGCGACCTTGGTCTTTCCCATGGCAGTGGCTGCTCCCATGGCAGTGGCTGCTGCCTGTGCGGAGCGGGGCCGGGTCGGAGCGCGGGCGCGGCCTCGGGCGCTGCTGACGCTGGGCTCTGGGCTGCCTTGCAGAGGAACGCCAAGCGCACCGGGAGCAGGAGCTGCCAGAGCAGGAGTCGAGTTGGCTCCCGTGAGAGGACCTGGCTGAAAGGGGACGTCGGACGAGGCTGCGTGTATGTTTATGGAAGAGACTCAGCAGCTGCGGCTCCTTCGGACTTGCGCCTAGTCCTCTGCACAGTGGACACCCAAGCCTCGGAGATCTGTGACGGAGAAGGGAGGAAAACCCTCTTTTTGCAGCTTCATGGAGACCTGGTCAGGTGAGGGCCGAAAAAGGATAAACCTGACTGAGAAATGTTTTGTATAGGTTTGCGATGCTCTTGTTCACCGTGTCCCTATGCCTGTTGGCAGGGCAGGTAGGGAACAGGCAGAGGTAGTACCTGGCAGTCAGGTATGGCCTTGAGTCATGCACTTCATAAAAATTAGATAGTGGTGAAATAGAGGTTACACACCTCGTAGTTATGTGTTTTAACAGGGAGGGTTTGACTGTTGCTCCAGCCAGAAATATGTCCTCATTTTCTGAGTAGAGACACCTGTTCATATATTTCTTTATTATGTTCTGTGTTATGGGGATTTTAGCATCTGGACAACCTATTTAAGAGGCTATAAACAGTTACTTTGAGTAGCAAAAGAAGGTGCTTTCACAATTATGTCATTTAATATTTACGTGTGAGTAAATTTTTTTTCTGAGAATAGTTGCCAGCTAAATAATTAAAGGCAGACAGAAACTGTAGCAAGGGTTATATAAAGAAGCATCGGATGCTATGTTTTATGTCAGAAGTCAATTTAGGCTGAAAATAGATGGTTCAGGGTTTAATGTGCGTGAACTTTGTGCTGTGACTGTGTTATGGACTCCTCTAGGTTTAGAAGCTCCCGTTCAGTTTGTTAGTATTTAAACTTTGCACTGATTGTTCTGGACTTAAGATTCAGTTATAAAATTGCCACTCCTGTTCTCAGGGGCATATAATTGCTGTGGTCTCCTTGCTTAAAGGCTAAGCAGTGGATACAATGCATTTTGAACAGAGGTAGTAGCTGGATTTTTGATGTGAAATGAAGGTTACAAGTCGCATGTGTCCAAATCTTAAATCTGTATGTTTGCTCTGTAATGGGGTGGGAATGCCAGTTGGAAAAGGTTATTTAGAACCATTTGCCTTACCCTGGTCAGGGTTACAGGAATTAGGGATGGATTAGTTAGAAATGCTGTATGAGAACAGGTGGACACTTGAAGACTGCCACTGAGGCAGCTGAAAACCTCCATTTCTTGTTTGAAAAATTTGTAAGGAAGTTGGCATGTTTTGGACCCTAATAGTGAGTAGATTTTCCAGCATTTTTAAGGAAGAGCAGAGCCATTCGTGCAGATCATGAAAAAGCTTAGGTAAAGCTTGTAGATGTGTTCAGAGAGATACATTTTGACTTTATTTTGCTTTTGAAGTGGCTTTTGCATTTGAATTCTTTTCAACCTCTCTTTTCTCATGTGAGCTAGCTGTGCCTGTCTTTGATTTGTAGCAGATTTTGCGCTGGATTAGCAAATTGGCAGCAAATTGCTGCCAGCCTTTTGGAAGCAAGTACTAAGCTGTAAATTATTACTTCACACTCCTTTTGCCTCTTGTTATGTCTAGGTCTTGGCCAAGATTTGTCAAAAATTTTGTAAAGAGTTCTTGGTTATGATGTGTCTATTCCTTGTAATTCTCAGAGGGTGTTTGTCACAGAAGAGATCCTTGAAATACTTCCCACTGGACTTGTTCTTGGTAGGGAAGTGGGAGTTGCCAGTATTGCTTCAGTAACACCTGTGTTAGTAGCAGGAAGCAGGCCTGAGTGGTATCTACTTGCATGTCCACAGGAAGATGACAGAGTGCTCAAGATTATCTTCATGACCTGTTGATATAATTCCTTCCTCGAACAAACTTTATTAGCATGTTCACTATACAAATTACTTAGTTAAATATCTGATCCCATCTTACCATAACTACGTGCGTCTCCCAGACAGCTTCTGAATTCTTTGCCCTTTTAATATCAGCAGGTGTCTTTCTTTCCAGAATATGGCAGATGTTGGCTTGGCAACGGACTTGGAAGACTGAAAGATGTATGGAAGAATAGCAGAAGCTCTTTTATGTATTCATTCTAAATATTCACCAATGTCCTTGTGATCATTCTGTTTCCTTTTCAGTTCTGTGAATTCAAGTCAGTTTCTGTAAGAACTTTTTCTTCTCCACAATGCACCTCAAGGATCTTTAGCTTTCTCCTAGCCAGAATCTTTCTTTATGCTTGTATCCCTTCATATCCAGAAATTATATCTTCCTGCAGAGGGAAAGGTTAAACAAGAATTGCACGGGTACCTTCTTTGCTCTGGATACCGCTAACAACAAAAATTTAAACTTCCAATGTTTGAAAACTTGACCCTTACTTATGGAGAGCTACAGTTGCAACAGGAATGAAACTGAAACTGTTGCTCCTTCCTTTTGGCTTTTCTGTCTCCTTAAGCTTGAATAGATATTGCCACCAATGTTCCTTTTGTACATGGCTTTCACAGAAAAGAAACAAAGGTGTTGTATTTGATGTTGGACTGGACTCTGAGCAGCCTGTTCAAGTCAAAGATGTCCCTGTCCTTGGTGGGATGGTTGGAGTAGGTGACCTTTAAAGGCCCTTCCTACCCCAAATGCCTGAGGTTCTGTGTTCTGATGTCACGGGGAGAAAAGCAATGCACAAACCAGTAAAACTCATTGGCTAATATCTTACAGACTGGAAACTGTTATTCAATGTAAGCATCTTGTTTTGGGTGAGGAGCTGTTTGAAGGAAGAAATGTAAACTTGCATTGTTCAGTTTGCTCTGTTGATAACCTGTGGCGACAAGGTGAGAGCTCAGGTGGGCGTGAATGGAGAGAGTGATGGGTACTGGGAAGTCGGTGCAGCTGATTGCTCTAGGTGGTTTAGCATGCAGTATTCCCTGGAAAACACTGCTTTTCAGTATCACTAGGTAGATCTATGTAAAAGACAAGTGTACTAAATACTGCAAAGGAGAGGAAGAAGGTTATAAGTTGCCAAAACTTGTGCATTGGAGGGATATGAGACTAGAGCAGGCTTGATCCAAGAACAGAAAAGTGTTTGAGTTAAACCAATGTGTATGTGCGGTTTGTGAAGTCAGTGCATGGATACAGGGAACAATCATGTTAGTGCTTACAGAGTAGGGATAAACTAAAAAAAAAATTGAGGGTAAAAATCCTTCTGAATAAAAGTAGACCCACTCTACTACAAGAATAGTTTTAAAAGTACCTTGTACCTTATATTGAAGAGGGAGTTTGAAATGTCTAGTGACATGGTTTATAAACTCCTTTTTAAAGAAGAGACCATTGAGATCCAGAACCTGAAGCTAGGCACTTTTAGATTAAAAATTGAGATTTTTAATGTTGGATAATGAGTAGACCATTGGAACAATATATTTTAACTCCTACCCAACATTTTCAGTGCTTAATCTTTTACACTAATTTTTTTTTCCTAAAATAAAACTTGTAATTTGGCAAGAAACTTTGTTGTTTTTATTGAAGAAAGTCACAATACAGGGTCTCTGGAAAAAGTGATAAGAGAGGATCAGAAAACATGTTTTCCATTCTGAATATACTAAATCTGATGTTTCACAAGAACTTTCTCCTATTGCTGTTAATTCAGGCTAACCACTGAGTCCTTCCTGTCTTCTGCCATAGTTCTAAAACATCCTTTTAAATATACTGGTTGAGTTGCCAAACCTTAAGAATCTAGCCACTGATGTGAGCTGAAGACAGCAGGAAATTTGTCTTATATTTGTGTTGGGTTTTTTTAGTGATTCTTCATGAGGATTCTTCAAGTGCTTTGCTCTAAGCTGCATTTGGAATAAAAATTTAAGAGTTCTTTTCTATTTTTGAGGCATTATACATAGTGTTTTTTAATTACTTGACATCTGCTTTTTTGGTACTTCTGGTTTTGTGTCTTGTCATGGATTCCTCCTGGTGCTCCTTAAATCATGAAATAGAAATACTCACCATGAATTGTGTGGCTTATGCCAATTGCTGTTTCTCTTATGCAATGTAATTCATAAGTGCTGCAGTTCCTAAGTGCTGCTTGTCAAGCAGGGAGCAAGAATCTGTGCTTGCCAGACCTTTTCAGAGGAGCAGAACAGACGGTGTGTCAGTATTCCTCACACTTTAGCTGTACTGAGACTTGTTTAATCTGTTTTGCATTCTCAAACTTCTGTCTTGTATGTTTTGACAGGAGGCTGGAGCCCACAGAAAAACCCCTTCAGATTGTGTATGACTACTTGGCTGGGTTGGGTTTTGATGATCCTCTCAGAGTGCAGGAAGAGGCAGCAAACTCTGATCTCAGCTGTATGATTCGCTTCTACAGCGGTAAGAAATGATGTGTGTGCACTGTCACTGTTCCTGCAGGTGCAGCTATGAGCTGGAACTCGGCTAAAGCCTGAGTTGTCAGCCTGTTGGGTTTTTAGAGGGCTACATCAAGCACCTGCAGTACCAGTAAGCATTTCTTAAAATAAAACATTTTCAAGATTGATAGAAAAAAAATCACACTTCTGTAGTTTTCTTGATCCTGTCCATGACTTGAGAAAAGACAGGTCCACAGGAGGGCACAGGATTGCTCTGTTTTCTTTAGATTCAAATATTGCAACTGATGACTTAGAGCTACCACTGGGAGTTCTCTTTAGTTGTGCACAAAGATTGTATTTACAAAAAGTTTGTGGATATGGGCAAGGAAGCTCCTGGTCAAATACCTCCACAGCCTTTTAACAGTGAAGAGTGAAGGTGCCAGCTGGTTAATTATAACACAGGCTGCCATCAGAACCCTAGGGCACTGGATTGCAGACGCAAGACTTTGGAGTGTGGCCTGTTGAATTGGTTTGGGCAGGAGACAGTATACACAAGGAGCCACGGATTACAGGCACAGGCCTGTGGGCATGTGGTACTAGCAGTCAGAAGGGGAATTCACTGAAGTTAACAGGAAATATAAAAGAAATGAGGGTGAGGAAAGATAATAAGAAAATTATTTCCTTACTTGCAAGTACTTAAAAAAATACTGTGTATTTTTTTGCATTTCAGAAAAAAAAAATGAAGATTTTTTAATGGAAAATTGTTCTTGCATTGTGGATCTGGGAAGCCAGGCTAAGCTGCTATCCATCTTTTGGTTACTCAGTGTCAAAAAAATGCATTTATAAGAAATCAGCTTCTTCACCCTGCTATCTGAGACAAACCCCTTCTGTCTGGGAGCTGTGTGTAAGAACAGGCAGAACAGTGTAGATACTGTATGCACCATACATATACAAACATATATATGCAAAACACTGAGTATAACAGATGGAAAGAAGCCTGACATACGTAGTCTGAATTTATGGAGCAAGGAAGGGGGAGTCAGAAGTTACTTCAGCTGGAAGGAGTAGAGGCATCAAGGATAGGGCTATGGAGAACTTCTGAGGAAAAAATGAAAGCTTGGGTATGTCAAGCAGGAACTGCCAAGGATTCACAAACAGCAACTCAACTTCATGGAACCAAGTAGATAGCAAATGTAATTGAGTAGTTTCAGTCAGCATTAGTGGCTGGTCTGCTTAGAAGAAAACGATGAAGGAAGGAGTACAGGGGTTGAAGGGTGTTCAGGAGACCTGTTTTAAGGAAATACAAGCAAATGCCGACAAAGGGATTCTCAAAGGTAGGGGAGGAATTAGAGGGAATGCTATGGAGGATGATACAATAATTTAGCAGTGTCTGCAGCTGAGAACATAAGGGAGGAAGTAATAGATTTTACACAGAAAAGCTTTAATTAGAATCGTGGCATCACAGACTGGTTTGAGTTTGGAAGGAACCTTAAAGATCATCCAGTTCCACCCTCCTGTCATGGGCAGGGACACTTTCCATGAGACCAAGTTTCTCCAAGCCCCACCCAGACTGGCCTTGGACAGTTCCAGAGATGGAGCAGCCACAGCTTCTCTGGTCAACCTGTGCTAGGGCTCCCCATCCTCCCCATCAAACATTTCTTCCTTATGTCCAGTGTAAATTTGCCCTCTTTCACTTTAGAAACATGGCCCACAGTTCTGCCTCTATAGGCCTTCATACAATGTCTCTCTTTGCCTTTCTTATAAGCTGCCTTTATATATAGAAAAGCTGCAAGAAGGCCTTCTCCCCTCCGGGCTGCACAGCCCCAGCTCTCCCAGCCTGTCTCCATAGGAGAGGTGTTCCAGCCGCCTGGCTGTGTCCACGGCTGCCCCGTGACCCACTCTAGGATAGGTGTCACTGGAGCAGAGGGGGAAACTGGAGGATTGGTGCAGCTGTGTGGGAATGCTTGGAACAGTGCCACTGTGGCAGTTAGTAGTAGGATACTATTTCTAGTCCCTTAATAATGTTTTCTTAAAAGTCTGGAGCTTTGATTTCAGCTTGGTGAAATCAAAGCAATTTTTTCTGTGGATTCTTACAGTTTCTCACCAGTAAAGGACATCTTATGTCAAACTTCATGTGTGTGAAACAAAACTGTTGTTGTAAATAAACAACTACATGTTTCAGCTAAATTCAGCCAGATATGGACATCACGACAGCGCTTTAGATTTGGCAAGCTGAAGATTCTACTAACTGAGAAACAATGTTACAGCTTGAGTTAGCAGTTAACTGTTGGCTCCTGATAAATGTTTGGAGTATGGTTTTCTTATTCAAGCTTGCTGTGTGGTCAGTGTGACCCGCTTACTCCACATAGCATCAGTTTGAACATCCAGCCCAGCACCCCAGTAGGGTGTCAGGAGCAGCTGGACCTTAATGCCAATCAGCTCTGAAGCAGCTCAAACCCCTTCATATGCTACCAGTATCTCTTTCACTTAGAGTATTGTGGGCTCCAAATCCCTTAGTGCCAATCAGCTCTGAAGCAGCTCAAACCCCTTCATATGCTACCAGTATCTCTTTCAGTTATGTGGGCTCCAAATCTTCTGTAACCCCAACTCCAGAAGCTGAATGGTTTGACCTTGAGTGTGTCCAGTACAGCAGCAACTGGCAGCAGTCTGACTCCAGTCCAGTCTGAGTAGTTGCAGTGGCTTGTCACAGGGTTGGAGTAGCCGCAAACAGTTGTTTCTCCCTAAACAGGACCTGAGCCACAGTCATGGTGCCTAGCAATAGGGAACCACACTGGTTTCAACATCCCAAGGATATTAAAAATTCCCAAATGCTGTTGTAATTAACCTGGAGGAGAAAAGGAAGATGTGGGAAGTGTCCACTCTCTAGGTGGGCTGTCTGAGGAGAAAAGGCAAATAGTGTCGTTATCGATATTTTCCACTAAATGGCACCAGAGCACAAAGGTAGGGGCCATGCTGAGCACACAGATCAGATTACAAAATGCAACACCATAACCTTAACCCAGCCTTTACAGCAGATAAGGTTTTTCATTTTGTTGCACTTGAGAACAAGTGCAACAAAATCGAGCAAAACAATCAATATTGTAACCAGCCACTGTTAAACCAATACAGCAAATGCTTATAGCAAATCTGTTTTTACACGCTCTGGTCAGATCTGTCTCTGCCCTTGGTGCACCAGGTCTGGCACCTAAAAGGACTGTTGTGGTTTAACCTCAGCCACCCAATTAGCACCTGCTCACTCACACCCTGCTTCCCCCATCGGATGGGAAGGAGAATGGGAAAAAGGTGATACCTGTGGACCGAAAACAGTTTGATAATTGAAATAAAGTAAAATAATAATTATAATTGTAATGAAAAGGGAAATAACAAAGAGAGAGGAATAAAACACAAGTGATGCACAATACACTGCTCATCACACTGGTGCCCTTTCTCTAGCAGTGCTCAGCCCTCCTGTCCCAGTTCCTTAAGTTTGTATACTGGATGATGTTCTATGGTGTGAAATATCCCCTTTGCTAGTTTGGATCACCTGGTTCAACCATGCACCCTTGCAGTTTCTTGTGCACCTGCTTGCTGCAGAGAATCAGACACTGTAAAGTCCTTACTTGGGTGAGTGCTGCTGAACCAGCCAAAACAGCAGTTTTTTAGTGGGTTTTTTTTTGTGTTATCAACATTATTCTCGCACTGAAGCCAAAACACAGCCTTGTACCATCTGCCAGGAAGAAAATGAATTCTATCTCAGGCAAAACCAGGACAGTCATCTTCAGGGAAAGAAGTTCCTTTGTAGTTGATTTTCCAGGCCTTCCTTTAAAGTCCAGTAGAAGCCACTTATTTAATGATTTCAATGACTTTAGCTGACTCAACGAGAGTTTGAAATTGCTTTTCTGTTGCATTTGAATGAAGGATATTTGGCAAGCATGTGGATTTGCTGAGGTCTGTGACTACCTGTGGATTAAAAACACGCTGCATGGCAACCATTCTAACATTGTTCTAAGAGGCACAAACGGTGCTGCTCAGCTGCTGTTCCTGCGCTGACTGAGGATATTGCTTGTCCTCTGCAGAGGTTTTTTTTTTTAAAAGTGCAGTTTGTCTGCTTGTTCTTTACAACAACTGGTTTTGCATGTTAGAGCTGTGTTATTTGTACTCACAGATGAGAATGAAGAGCATATGGACAGTAAGTGCTAATGTCCCCTTTTTCTTTAGAAAAGCCGTGTCAGGTGGAACAGCTGGATCGCATCCTGCTCTCTGGAGTCTACAACGTACGCAAAGGAAAGACCCAGCTGCACAAGTGGGCAGAGCGCTCAGTCACTCTGTGTGGTACGTGCCTCATTGTGTCCTCAGTGAAGGACTGCCATGCAGGGAAGATGCACATCTTGCCTCTCGTTGGAGGGAAGGTAAGGCTTTTTTTTTGGTTAGCTCCCTGTAACCTGAGAGGGGAGAAGAAATGTAGTAGTGATGGAAATTGCACACAAGAGATTAATGGAGGCTTTTTTAACATTAATGTGCCAAACATCTTTCTACTTGCTTTGCTTAGGTAGTCGTCTGAAGGCTAATAAAATGAAGAAACACTAGTTCAGCTTTCACAGCAGTAGCCAGTGTGCATGAGCACTCTGGAAATTGCCACTTCTTGCATCCATTTCAGCAGAAAGATGTTAAGCAGGATTTACTTCTGTGTTTTTCTCCAGTGACTGCAACTATATTTTTGGCAAAATGCAATGTTACTGGTGGTCAGTAATACTTCACCCTAGGCTTCAGGTCAGTTGCAATTGGTGGTGCTTAGGCAGACTGTTGTCAATTCTCCCTCTGCAGGTGGAAGAGATGAAACGTCGGCAGTACACCCTTGCTTTCACATCTGCTGGAGCACAAGCTCAGACATACCACGTTTCCTTTGAAACGCTGGCAGAGTGCCAGCGGTGGCACCGGCAGGCATCCACGGTGAGCCCATGGGGACAGTGTGGTTTGGATGGTGTGTGCAGGGTATGCCACAGGAAGGCTATTATGATGCAAGCTTGATCTGCAGTCAGAGACAAAGCTAGGATGCTGGAGACAGCACCCAGGACATTTTCCGGCTTTATTTCCTTCATGCTCTGGCCTACAGAGATTTTTCTCTTAGCCTTCTCTTTTTCTCTACCTGTGCAACATTGTCGAGCAATAGTTCTGTTCTGTTTTAACCCCTGCTGCACGTACAAGACTAGCTGAATCACAGGTCCCTAGAGCAAACCACAGGGACTGGCTGACTTTACAGCCATAGAAACCTACAGATTGCATTTGTTGCCATACTTGAATGTATCTGAAGTATGACCTGGACATACACAAGGCTGCCCTGAGGTTTGACATACAGAGACATTGTAGGTCAGCAAGGATATTATGAAATACAAAATGAGTTTGGGATAAAGCAGGTCATAAAATGGCAAATTAAGTACCAAAGACTTCAAAACGAAACATACTTTATGAAAGGACATGAGATTTGCAAAAACTTCATGAAACGCTACAAAACCATAATTTATGAAGCCTTTTTATAACAAGTTATGTTTCAAATTTTATACTCTCAACAAGCTAATAAAAAAAAGAAGTAGCTAAAAGTACAGAAGAAGCAGCAGTGCTAGTTAGAGGTTCTGTAAACCTCAAAGAACTCAACTGAAAAATCAACTGCTTCCAGTTGCTTCCTGCACCTTTGGAAGGCACTTGAGATTATGCTTTCTCAATACAGTTTTCTGAAAGATCTGTTTTCCTCTACTACACTGGCTCTCTTACAGCCTAGCCTTCAGGCAGTGTGCCCAGTCCACATACAGAGCAGGGCTTTGTGTGAATCCTGGCTGGTGTCCAGCTGTGCATCCTTGTCAGGGATGTAGCAAAGGGCATAGGCTTGTACTTCACGGACTCCCATTTCCTGTATGGACTCTACCTGGTAGGTACAAGGAGTTCTTTCATGTTCTTGCAAATTGTTTATTACCTGTATTCTTTGGCCTTCCATTAGACTTCCAGAGCAAATTTGTTGCTCAGCTGCAGCTTTTTCTCTTTCTTTTCAGATTGTGTCTATGCGATTTAGCATGGTTGATCTTTCATGCTACAGCCTTGAGGAAGTACCAGAGCACCTCTTCTACAGTCAAGATATCACCTACCTCAACTTACGCCACAATTTTATGAGAACAAGTGGAGCAGGGAGTCTTGACTCTCTTTGCAGGTCTGCAAAGAATCATTTTTCTCCAACATTTGGAGTCCTTGACATGTGGATACAGGAATGAAACATTGCCTGTTCTCTTGGGGATGATAAAAAAATTGATCTTTAGGAAGCTCTAACAAGTGAGGGGGTTGGAAGCAGAACTGGGCAGCACAAACAGGAATAAACTTCCAACAATTTATAGTATTCATGAGCTCCCTTCCACAGATTCTGTGCTAACTCTGATTTGAGATAAGCCTTGTGGGGTGACATGCCATTTGTATCGACAAGATGCAGTAGTAATATTAGGCTGCTTGCTAAGCAGAGAACATCTTGGGGTATAAAATAAAAGGCAAGGAAAAGCATAATGCTGCTGTTGTGAATAAGTGTTTGTAGGAAGAAGTTTAGGTCTGAAAAACCCTGTTTCGGCGAGTTCTTAATGTGTATTTGGAATTGGCAGAGGGCCTGTGAGACTCCAGCTTTGCTTTGGAAACTTGTGATGATCTGCTTTTAAGAGAGTAGCAGTTGTGTGATGGTATGGAAGCATGATGTAGTCATCTTAGGTAAGTGAAGGAGTCTTACAAAAATATTTTAAAATTAATTTCCCAAAATCATAAAAATCTAGAGGGAGATTCGTCTGTTGATATGTATACCAACCATGCTAAGTAGAATTCAAGGAGTTGCTCTATGAATTTTGGAAACTGTTAGGAAGCTTTAGTATTATTGTCCAATGGCTCTGTTTGGAACACATTTCCCTAAGGAAAATGTATTTGGAGAAACTTTGCAAAACTGCTTTTTGGTTTTTTGTTTGTTTTAGTTTGTTGTTGTTGTGGTTTTGAGGTTTGGTTGTTTTTGTCATTTTGGTTTGTTGGAGGGTTTTTTTGCAAGGTGGGGTGGGGTGGGGAAGGCTGTATTTTTGTTTTCTTTGTCTCTAGGGGCCTACTACTGTGCTATTTCATTTTTCTTCCTCTAGGGTAATGAGATGCCCAGGTATCTATGAGAATATACAATGAAAAAAAAAGCTCACTTTTTGGAATTCTTTGCAGTTTCCTTGTGAGCCAGAGTCTAGTTCTGGTTTTCAAAACTTCTTTAAAAGTTTTCTAATGCTGAATTGTAATAGATTCTGTTACTGGAGAAGCTGCTTAAAATAATTTAAGATTTTGCTTTCTACTTGTCTCTTCAAATACATTGTATTTGATTTCTGAGCACATCAGAACTTTATTTGCTAAAATGGAGTATCCTTGGTTCACAGGATCAGCAAAGGGGCTTGAAATTTCTTTTGACCTTGCATGTAATCAACAAGAAATCTGACATGTCAGAAACTCAACTCTTTTCCTGGCAGTGACTATGTCTGATGAAGCTGAAATCTGCAAACAAACAAAAGCCTTAAAAGAAGCTCTCACTTCACACAATCTTGAATAAACAGATAGCATTAGGTTGCCCACATAAGGCTGCTCATTGCCTTTTGAAAAGATTTTCTATCTGGGGTTTTTAGCATGCTTCTAAGATTACAGCACCACAAGAAGACCCTTGCTCACTTGCAGTAGGTGCTCTCAGTGCATTGAGACTGTCAATTCCCCACAGCAGAATTTTTCACAATGATCAGATCTCTTTCTCTGAGCAACTTTCAAGCTCTAGGAGTCTAACTACCTATAACTATAATAATGGAGCAAAAATAATTGGCTAAAGGGAAAATGTTAAGCAAAGGGTATTAAATAGGTCTACCTGCTTTGTTACATCTCCTAGCTTATTTTTTATGTATTGTAGTGCCTTTCAAGTATCTCACTTACCTGAAAAACACTGAGATCTTGTCTTCATTGGTATGTGTGTGTGCACATGCATGTATACATCTGCATGTCTCTTGTCAGCATTCTAGCTAGTTGATACAGATTTGTGCTGGTGTGCTTTGGTGGCAGAGCAAGATGTGTTAAACTTGCAATATTTCAGGGCAGCACCAGTTTGGGCTGCTAAACAGAGGATGATCATCCCATGGAAGATTCACTGCTGTGTTTCCATACTTCTTTGTTGTCTCAGTATGCCCTGTGAGCACAAACCATAACCTGAGGAGCCACAAAGATTTTGGAATCTTTATCCCCTATAATACCTGGTTCATATACACAGCTTGAATGAGAGTTGCATTTCCATTCCACTCCACTCCTACATCACTACTTGAGCTCACTGAGGCAAAGAAGGAACAGAAGGAGAACTCAAAAGGCTTTTGAGTATTGTCCTCCCCACTGAGTATGGAAGTCTGCTTGAGGAATCTCAGACCAAGCTGTGTCATATTCCAGTTTCCCTTCAGCTTTTGGAAACTGTAATGCCCCTCTTGTGCTTGCTTTCATATTTTTCCAGAGGGATGAATTCTAAACATTAGTTGTGCTGTTGTGTTTGATGCCGTGTCTCTCAGAGCAGCTTCTCACCATGCTGTTAGAGAGAGAGAAATATCTCTTAAAGTTGAACCAGAGTGTAGCAAAAGCTATTTCAGAACTCCTGAGAAAGCAGTTTTATTAAAGCATTTGCTGATTTCAAAGCCTGAGAGCTGCAACCTGTCCTAAATCTCTTAAAGTTGAACCAGCTAATGAGATTGTTCAAATCTTTAGGTTCATCCTCGTTGTTTCCTTCTTTTCCAATACTGTGGTGGAGTTCTGTGTGCAAGTTTCTAGTTTTTGTATCATTGTTAGGTCCTTGCATTATCCTTCCTTTGAGGAAGGCTTTTACCAACATAGCATCTTTTTCTCTTTGGCTTTCAGTTGCAGTAAAAGGGAGTGTGTGGCTGCAGCAAACAAAAATCTCTGTGCCCTTATTCATATGATGAGGTGCTCAAAGCAAACAACTCATGTCCAAGTTTCAGCTATGCTCCCTCTTTCAAAAGAACAACACCCCCCAAGGTTATAAAGCAAAATGGAGAAGTATGCATAGTTCCTACACAGATCATTACAAGTATTTTGAATCCAAAAAAAGGTCACTATAAAGAAGAAAACAACTCCAAAACCTTTCAGTCTTATATTTCAAGACATCTTAAGCTAGAAGTAATAGTCTCTCTCAAGCTAATTAACCTTGTTTTGTTACCGATATTAAAACATTTGCTTCAAAATAAGAGCTACTTGCCAAGAGCTACATGCCTGGGAAAAGTCAGGTAGGGGAGGCAGATTAATAACTGCATGTTTCCAAGAAGTAGTTCTCTGGTACGTGAAATTTGCAGTTATCTCATTGACGTGAGATATTAATTTCCCCACTGAATTAATTTTTGGTGGTTCCAGTTTGGGATGAAGATGATTTACATGGGGAACAATGCTTTTGCCTCCTTTAGAAAGAGGCAGGAAGTCTTGGAGGAGAACCCTGCTGTATGTTACCCCAGCCACACACTAAGTTCCTTCTCTGTCTTTGGACCTAGCATAGCGATTGAAGGAGCTAGAAACAGGTAACCGTTTCCCAAGCAGCGGCGGGACTGCAGCGGCTGTGGGGCTGTCTGCGCTCGGCCAGGGCATGCCGTGCCGTCTGCTGAGCACTGTAGTTGTGCCATCTTGTTCAAGGACTTCTGGGTGCAGGGCTTGGGTTTTCCCAGCATGAAGCAAGTGCTTTCCTAGTTTTCCCTTTTACAGCTTGGCTTGGCTTTCTGTTTTATTCTCAGAATAGTCCTAGTGAATGTTTTCAGCTCCTCTTTTCCCTAGCTACGTAATTGTAGACTCTTACTGTAGTTAATTCTTTAGTCACCTTAATCTTAGTAGCAGTCACTACGACAAAGCGTGTCAGGTTGGTGTAGAAAGTTGTTATCAGTTCCTGCAGTAAACCTATGGTGTTTGATCATTTTCAGCATGACAGTTGGGAAGAATATCAATGACTTAAATCAAATTTATGCAAAAACTCCTGTAATGAGTTAGCTGACTGTATCACCAGTGTACAAAGACTTAAGAATTCTTTATGACTGGTTTGTGTACTTTTGCTTTAAACATGTAGGTTTGTGAATTAACTAGTGTTCTTGCTAATAGGTTTTCTCAGTTGAAGAGTCTGAACTTGTCTCATAATAGACTGGGAGAGTTTCCTGTATCACTGTGTGAGATCTCTACTCTGACAGAGCTTAATATTTCCTGTAATGGACTTCATTACTTGCCAAGTCAGATTGGCAAACTGTTGAAGTGAGTATGTTCTTTAAATCTGTGATCATAAATTCCCTTGGTGCCTCAGCTGAGCACTACTGATGTGCAGGTACTGTTTCTGAAAGTGTGTTAAAAAAAAACAAAACAGGGCAGCCTGTTTTGCCCATGAAGGCTGAATGTTTAATTTGACTTCAGCAGAAGGTCAAGAGCTAAGATGTGCAATCCCTTAATCACTACTAGGAAAACATCACAACTGCTAGTGCAGAAAAGATGAGGAAACTTGATGCAGGTAAAGCACTGAAGGCAATTGCATTTTTTTCTCAAATAAGTCTATGTGCATTCTTCTGCAGCTTCAGAGTTGTCTGACTTTCTGCATTTATTATTTGAATTTAATATTTTCAGTATCGATGCAATTTCTATTGAAGTTTTAATTTATTGTAAAAAGCTTTTCTGTGGTAACTTCTCACGGGGGTCTAGTGATTTTTGTCAGCACTGGTATGTTTGATTGTGTTCTACAGAATTGGCTGCTTTTGTGTTAGAGGATTTTAACATGAAACTACTTGAGCAATCTCCTCTGAAAATTTTGTCTTGAAGTGTTTGCTGGAGCCTTGTCCATTTTCCCCAGCAGCTGCCCCAAATGCATAAGAGCTTAAGCTTAGGTAAATTTAATTGCAAGACTGTTAGTACACTTAGATAAACATCAGTAGATGTTTATCTAAATGTTCATATAGATAAACATCAATATTGAACTGTTTATTTATTGTGGCCTGCTTTTCCTCCAGCTTGTATCTTTAAAAAAGGAGTGTCTGCAGCCACATTGGATGTGAGCAAGTAATTTCCAGAATGATCTTTTAGCCATATGCAAACTGTGAGGAAAAAGTTACATGTCGGCTTCCACTTCCCGGAGGTTTACAGTTTAGTTATGGGTCCAGTCATCTTGATGACTCCTTGAGCCTTTATTCATAAGAACTTTTTATGGCCTCAGATTTAATTTCTGCCACCACTAAACACAGAAAGGTCTCTGTTGGAACATAATCATAATAAAGGGAATTGTATATTTGGGATCTGGGTCTCAAAAGCCATACAGCCTTTGAAACAATTCATCATACAACAGAAAGCTACCTTATTCTTTTCCGAGTGTGTTTTGGAATGGACAACTAGAGTGTAAAATCTTCTACTAGTGCATTAGTGTGGTAGGAGGTATGATTAAACTGTGCCATTTGTAGAAAATCAAGTAATTAAGTAAATACCTGTCATTTACAACGTATGTTACAACCGGTTTCTATTTTGCTTGTGTTAACTTACAATCTTTGGCACAACTGGAAGTTCCAAGTCTATTACGCGTGTGATAAAAGTACTTCAGTAACTTTACATGTGTAAGAATAAAATTAGCTTTTAGGTACCTTTAAAAATAACCACATTGAGACCAGCTAACTATATGAGAAAATTCACTGAAAATATGAAATATGATGTTCACTACTCTTTGCAGAATTATTTTCTTTCTCTTTTTCACTTTTGCAGTCTCCAGACCTTCTGGCTTGATGGCAATTTCCTCACATCCTTACCAGAAGAGATGGGAAACCTGCAGCAGATCAGCTGTCTTGGGCTTTCCTTCAATAACTTCTGTGAACTGCCAGCAATTTGTGAGAAACTTGTCACCTTAGACAAACTAGCCCTGGCAGGGAACTTGCTAGAGACCCTGGACCTGACAGTGCTGAACCGTATGGGTCACATCAAAAGTGTGGACCTGAGGTAAGGGGTGAAACTGGCAGGTGTCTATAAAACAGATTGGTACTTTCCATTTACAGCAGAGGATCTGTGCAACTTCTGGTATGTTTTACAATAAACTAGGTTCAGTTTTCTTCTCTTACTGATTCTTTAGCTTTTATGGAGTTCTGTTTCTGAGGGTGTGCAGAATCCACTTGGAAGAGCAAGCTTAATTGAGCAGTGCCAGATGCTGAATGCGACCCAGCCCTCTAGTTTCCTCCTGTGATTTGCTGTTATCTTAAGCTTTGGTAGCCCAAGGTACCAAAACCTTGATCTCTTCTTCCTTTCTTTGCCTCACTGCCCTAGAGTTGTGATCCTGATTCTCCAGGCTGCCAACTGCACATCTCTCAGAAAGGGACAAAGATCTTTTTGTGTGTGGCAAGGCAGTCTAGTATCTGTTCTCTGCATTAGCTTCCTGTGTCCATGCAGAGTAGCTGCCCCTTGACCCAGTTTCTGTTTTCTAGACTGGATCTTTTTTCAGAATCTCTTAAGAATTTGGGAATCATTAAAATGATTACGTGTAGCAGTGTAGACAAAGAAAATGTTTTTGTTTGTATTTACTGCCTGAAATTCACCATTGCTTGTCACACATTTCATTCACTGTGCTCACCTTTGGTGTTAGCCTTCACCAGAATTCTTCCTTTCCTCTTCTTTCTTCTCTCCTACCAATGTCCAGTGTCCTATTTTCTGACTTTTTAACTCATCTCTGAATGTTTAGGCTGAACAACCTGAAGAGAGCAGCAGCTGACACTCTGGAGGGGAACAAATCTGTGGCTTACATGGATTTACGAGACAATCAGATGACAGATCTGGATCTGAGCTCCTTGGTCAGCCTGGAGCAGCTGCACTGCGAGCGAAATAAGCTGAGAGAGTTGACACTGAGCGGCTTCTCCCTTCGGGCCCTGTATGCCAACAGCAACTGTATGTCTCTTTGTCTTCTTCACCTGCCTTTTCCCCCTGGGAGCAAAGGAAAACAGCCTTTTGCCCTCTGTCATGCATTAAGAAAATACCTATGTTGATGTTATTGTGGTGAAACCGTATGCGATGGGTCCTCTGAGGTTAGCTCCTGCGGATCGCGTATGCACGGGTGTGCACAGGCTGTGTAACAGTGTGGAGGTTGTGGTCTTATGTCCCAGGAATTCATGTCCCGTTCAGATCTGTCTGGCAGCCCACAAAGTAAAGTACCGTTCTCTCTTGTTCTGGTGCTCCACATGATAGATGGAAAAATGGATAGTGAGACACTGTAGTGTGCATATAGCAGATGTATGAGGTCTGAACTCTGTGGTGGGAAGTATCAATGGGGACCTTGAGTCTCTATAGAGAAAGATTGTGAGTCTCATTTGATAACTAAGTTGCAGCTCTGTGCTGTTTTCTCTCTGAAGCTCTGCAATCATACTTCCTTGCTTTACTTCATCAGGTCTGACAGCTGTCAATATTTATCCGGTTCCTGGTCTACTGACATGTCTAGAACTCTCTCAGTAAGTGATAATACACAACAGAATTTAAAGCAAGTATCTGGACATCTTGAGAGCAATTAAACACAATAGAACTTCAAAGCCCAGCACTAAACAATGATGAAAGTGTCCCAGACCAGAAGCCCTTCTGAACCAGTGTGACCTTTTCAGGTGACTTCGCTGTCCTTCAGCTGTAGGCTGTGATCAGGGAAAAAAAAAAAAGCCAAGCAGGGACCACTGAACTTGTGGCAGCTTACTGAACTGAATGGGGGGGATCCGTGGATCAAATATTTAGAGTAGCTCCCAGTGATCTCTGCTGTTGATTTCATTGCCTACATCTGCCCTTGGAGCAGCATTGTGAGACTTGTAAGATAGGATGCCCTGCCAAGTCACGAACCAGTTCAGTTTGCATTATCCATGACTAACTCAGATACTGTTCATTTTTTGCCTGTTGCTTTTGGTTTGGCTGTCACTAAAATCATGCAGCATTCAGTCTTTTCCATATGGAGTGCTGGTTTCTAGCTTCTCCCACTTGCTTTTCTCAGCAATCAACTACAGTGTGTCCCAGACTGGGCCTGTGAAGCAAAGAAACTGGAAGTTTTGGATGTGAGCTACAACCTACTCTTGGAGCTTCCATCAAGGTCAGATAAACCTTTGTAAACAGAGCTGAGCTTTCTTCTACAATGGGCTGTCTGGGAAGAGAACAGCAGTGCTATACCCGTTGCTTAATTCCTTGTTACGTTGAGACATTTACTCTCACTTACTTTGTCTGTGTAGCATCAAAAGTGGTCTGTATTCAAATGTCGGAAAGAACTAGTTTCTAGGTCAGCCTTTTGAACAGTAGGGGCTAGGTAATTCTGTCCTGTGCTTTCGGCTGCTACTGCAGCTATTTGCACCTGACACAGAACCTGCTGCTGTGATTTATATGTGTTATCGTGCTGTCTGTGAACATAGGTCATAGGTGAGACCCTAATACATTTTGCATCATGCCACAGAAATTTCATCTGTTACCTCTGACAGGGAGTTATCACAAAGGGACAATTCAGCTGATCTGAAATGCAGCTTTCACAGTGCACCATCAGCCAGCTCCTTTATCCCTACTTCCCTTTCAGTTTCTGGAGAAATGCAGTGAATGAGAGCCAAGAACTAATACTATTTTGCAGTTATTTATCCTAGGAAGAAGCAAAGCATAAACATTCTCAGCCTAATAAGGGTGTTTGGTGGGGGTATGATTTGATGAATGACACAGTGCCTGGGGTAATTTGTACTAAAATTGAAGGGAGAAGTAGTTAACAGAGAAGAAATGTGGAACATGGTTGGAGAAGTTGAAGCAAGAGACATAGGAGGTGATCAGCAGTGACATTCCAGTGATTGTCCCAGAAAAACTATATACATCAAAAGCAAGAAAAGGACATACGAAGGATGTGATAATGAGAACTTAGAAGATAACTTTAGCCAATCCAGTGGATTAAAGTGACCAAATTTTAAGTATATTATGTAAAGAATAATTTGCTGCCTCAGAAATAATACAGGAGTGCTAAGGCACTAGTTAAAACTCTGAATTTATGTCTGCACTATGGAAGCACTTCTTTCTACCTACAAGTGACAACAGACATTTAAAGCCTTCCTTTGTGACTTCTTTCTTTGTCTGCCTGAGAGAATGCTGGGCACATGCACACCAACTTGAATCACAAGATACCAAACATTAGTAGTGTAGAGGGAAATGTAGATGTGCATACAAGCAGAGAGACTTGAATCATCTTACCCTGTGTGTTGTTCTGCTTTGTAATTGTTTACATTTTATGGATCAGTGTATTTTAATGTTTCCCTGCTGTACAAGCAAATTAAGTGGATTAAATACTACCTTTCCCACTCTGTGAATGTCAAGAGGAATGAACCAAGTTAAATAGAAAACCCTGTGTCTTTCTAGGATCCTCAGAAGCTTGAGTCTTCGGAAGTTGATGGTGGGGCACAATCGTCTGCAAAGCCTTCCACCTCTTCTAGAACACATTCCACTGGAGGTGCTGGACCTTCAGCACAATCTGTTGACTAAACTCCCAGAGACACTCTTTGTCAAAGCTCTGAAGTGAGTGTCAGTATCAAACATCTTTTGAAAGTAGCACCTGTGTGACTGTCCTTCAAGGTGCCATTTGCGTAAGAGATAACGAGGTGTGCCCTTTATGAGGAGGTTATTCAGGTGCCATAAGGGAAGCCATCAAGCTGATTTGAAGGAATCAGTCCATGTTACTGTATAATTACAGGAAAACAGAAGCTGCCTGAAGAACTTTGTCTTTAAAAGTAGTCATAAGTTCAAGTGCAAAGAAAAGAAGCCAGTCAGATTCAGGTCATTTGAGAACAATAAGAGAGACCCTTTACAAATGACCAGTCTTTCCTAACTGTATCAACAGGAGTTAGCCCTTCTTTAAAGAAGCCCTTCTTTAAGTAAAGTTTTATGTTGTCTGCTTCCAGTATTATCCAGTATTACCCATGGGCTTTTCAGTACTCACTGTTTACTGTAAAAATGCTGTGTGCATCCACAGTGTATATAGCTAGTTAGACATTAGTAGATTCACAAATCTTAATGTGGGTAGGGATGTTACAGTATTGTCTGGCCTCCTGTCTGATATTGCTGTCTACACTGGCATTTGTACAGCTCCTTTTCCTTGTTAATGGAGTGGTTTGAATGATGTGAAGTCTGATTCTTGCACTTGCTGTGGTTAGCCTCAGGTACCTGAATGCATCTGCAAACAGCCTGGAGTCCTTGCCCTCCACATGTCCGGGGGAGGAGAGTTTGAGCATGCTGCAGCTGCTATACTTGACTAATAACAACCTCACAGATCAGTGCATCCCTGTCTTGGTGGGACACCCAAACCTACGGATCCTGCATCTGGCAAACAACAACTTGCAGACTTTCCCTGCAAGGTAAGTCAGTAAGGCTGTTGGGCAAGACAGTGCTTCCTGGGAGGAAGCTGCCACCTCCCCATGATTGTACATGAGTCAAAGTCAGAGTGAAATGCTCTCCCTGTGGCTTGAAGACAAAAACCTGACATTTCTAAACACTGATGAAGGAGAAGTGTGTTAAGGGAAATTGGCACAGGGTAGTGTTGGCTGTCCTAGTTGAAGTGCCATCCAGGGGGACCAAGGGATTAACTTGTGTTGCACGTGTGTGGGGACGGGACGATATTTCTCTGCAACTTCAGCACTGATGGTGAAGGGTCTGTCTGTTGTACAAATCCAAGCCAGGCATCTTACTAGAGCATCTCTTAGGACTTTGGGTCTCCTATCAGTAAATCAGAAAAGTAGCTCATAAAGGGCAGTGTCTATGGATACCTCATCTGCAACTTCAGAAAGTGACAAGTTCATGTCTGTAAGATACGGTATTTTTTTGTTTCCCTTTCAGCAAACTTAGTAAGCTGGAGCACTTGGAAGAACTGAATCTGAGTGGAAACAAACTGAAAACAATTCCTACAACGGTTGCAAACTGCAAGCTACTTCATACACTTATTGCACACTCTAATGAAATCAGCATTTTTCCAGAAATCCTGCATTTGCCCCGTATTCAGGTATTTGTATGGAGAAGATAAAGAGATATCTGAGTAAAGTTTGGGCTATAGAATGAGTAACTGCTAGGAGAGAGCAGGAGGTCCCAGGAAGACCAAGTGCAGGGTGCTGTACCTGGGTCAGGGCTGCCCCTGGTATCAATCCAGACTGGGGGATGAATGGTTGAGGGCAGCCCTGCTGAGAAGGGCTTGGGGATGCCGCTGGATGAGAGGCTGGACATGCCCCAGCCATATGCGCTGGCACCCAGAAACCACCCCCACTCATCCTGGGCTCATCCCCAGTGCCATGGACAGCAGTAAGGAGGGGATTCTGCCCCCCTGTCCCACTCAGATGAGATCCCAACTGGAGGGCTGCACCCAGCTCTTGAGTCCTTAGCACAAGAAGGACTTAGACCTGTTGGAGTGCGCCCAGAGGAGTCCATGAAGATGATCAGAAGGCTGGAGCACCTCTGCTGTGGCAATGGGCTGAGTGGTTTGGGGTTCTTCTGCTTGGAGAAGAAAAGGGTCTGGAGTGACCTTATTGCAACCTTGCATTACCTAAAGTGACTAAAATAGAGCTTGAGAGGGACTTTGGACAAAGGCACGGAGTGATAGCAGAAGGGGGAATTCACTTTAAAGTGAACAAGAGTTGGTGTAGATTGGATATTAGGAAGAAACTCTTCCCTGTGAGGGTGGGGAGGCCCTGGCACAGGTTGTCCAGAGAAGCTATGGCTGCTCCATCCCTGGAAGTTCCAAGGCCAGGTTGGACAGGTCTTGGAGCAACCGCTTGTAGTGGAAGGTGTCCCTGCCCGTGGCAGATGTGTTGAAAAAAATGAGCTCTAAGGTCTCTTCGAGCACAGACCATTCTGTGGTTCTATGACTTTGCTTGATCAACCCAAGAAGAGGCCACAGAATATGCATTCTCAATCTCTCACCTTCTGAGTTGATAAAAGATCATCTCATTCACCTTTACCCCCTGTCTCTGACATTTCTGGTTTCTTGCATTTGAGACAGTGGGCAGCAGGTTTGCATATAGAGGCTTTCCTTTATCTTTGGTGTGACCTAGTCTTTCAGTATTGGAGTCATGGCTATTGCAGGTTGCTTATAAATCATTCTTCTTCTGCCAAGTCAGATCCATTTCCATAACCTGTATGTGAGATACAATAAGTAGCAGGGTTGTATGACGTTTGTAAGGAGCACTGGAGTAACTGATGACATGACACAACAAAAGAGTATTTTCTTTGTCATGCTGTTTGTTGCTACTGCAGTTTGTGGATTTGAGCTGCAATGAGTTAACTGAAATCCTAATCCCTGAGGCACTGCCAGGTGCCTTGCAAGAGCTGGATCTGAGTGGAAACACAAACCTGGTGTTAGAACACAAGACACTGGATATCTTCAGGTGAGCCATTGACATGTCAACCCAATAGTGACCTGCACAGGGAAGGGTAACCCTTGCCAGGAGAGGAAATGGGATAGTAAAGTAAAAGCACTTTATCACTGCATGATAGTATAACATTCCCTGCCTGAGGCAGCTGAGACTTGCTGTCTTTGGGAAGGGAAAAGTCTGGGTCTGAAACATCAGAGCAAGGAATTTTTCAGTTGGTGTGAGGTTTTCCCAGGTGTCTCTGGCATAAGCAGCCAGACATCTCCAGAACACCTAAACCTTAAACTCCTCTCCTTGATGCAGTTCTTTCCACAGACTGCTGTCTAAAACTAGACTGGACAAGGTCCTAAGGCCCATTCAGCAGGTTCTAGAAAAGCATAACTTCTGTTCTCTCTGTAGTCATATTACCACACTGAAGATTGATGCTAAGCCCTCCCTCACGGCAGACTCGGCACTCACTTCTGTCTTCTGGAGTCACGGAGTAGCTGAGATGGCAGGCCAAAGAAATAAGTGAGTATTATGGTCTGCTGAACACTGACGCTGTCTTCTCAGGATGCTGGGCAGAGTGCACTGCTGAGCACCCAAGCAGACCTGTTTTGTCCAAGAGCTCATCCATCCCTTTTTCTCTCTGGATCTGTTACTAAGTCTTGGTAACTCATGTCTCCACATTTGCCTCAATTTTCACACTTTTCCCGGTACACTTGGACTCCCCTTTCCAACAAAGATGCTTTTTCTCTTGCCAGCTGTGCCTGTTGCCCTCTCTTGCATGTGGTCAAGTAGGGTTTGGGAGTTTCAATAATAAAATGCAGCTGCACATCTCCCAGGCTAGTGAATGTAGGGCTGGTGGCTTTGCTGCCCTGTGAGAATGGCACTCACAGCAAAGGGCCTGATGGCTGTAGTTTTGAGAACAAGTTGATTTTTTGAGACATATTAACTTAGCTTGTATGCTTTTCTGACAGGTTGTGTGTGTCGTCCCTGGCACTGGGGAGCTTTGCAGAGGGGGTGGAGGCTGTGTATGGCATGTTTGATGGTGACAAGAATGAAGAACTGCCACGTTTGCTGCAGTGCACCATGGCCGATGTGCTCCTGGAGGAGGTACAGCAGTCTGACACCATGTTCATGTCCAACACCTTCTTGGTCTCCCACAGGTAGGACAGTGGGCAGGCTGGTCCTAGTGGGACTTGCATAAGGTATATCAATATGTTAGGTGGGGTGAGGCAGCCCTCCAGAATGCCTGTCAGTAGAGTCTGGAGCCTCCTACACTTTCTCCTCCAACAGAAAGCTGGGCATGGCTGGGCAGAAGCTGGGTTCCTCTGCTGTCCTTTGCTACATTCGCAATGAGGTGGCTGATCCAGCCAGCAACTTTTCTCTGACGGTGGCCAATGTGGGGACGTGCCAAGCTGTTCTGTGCCGAAGTGGAAAAGCACTGCCTCTCTCCAAAGTCTTCAGTCTTGAACAATGTTCAGAAGAAGCCAGGAGAGTCAAGGAACAAAAAGCCATTATAACAGAGGTTGGTTTGGACCCTTTCCACTTCAGCTTCCACACTCACATAAAAGCTTGGTACAAATACATGAGCTTGGCTGTCTGCATAACATTACAGGGGAGAGGGTGACATGAAGGTTCTGATCTAGTGCTTCCTGGTCTGCTTCATTTGTTGATTCGCTGTCCAAAATTGCATGTTCCTAAAACACTTTGGCCTAAGAACTATGGGTACAGGATGACTTGTAATATGCAAAAGTATTAAAATGATTTCTAGAGAACTCAGTAAAGGTTAACTTTCTAAACACTTGGAAATAACAGGGAAGTTACAAAGAGTGGGAAAAATACGTCTGTAAAGATCTTGAGAAATGAGTGCCAATCACTGTAGTTGTATGCTCACCAGTGGGTCTTATAAAAAGTATTAAGTTGCTAGATAGAAGTATTTTTCATAAGCGTAATGTGTCACTGTGTTACAGCTCTTCAAGGCATAGCACTGCAGCTACTGACTGAAAATAACTATGGGACTAATGTAGCACATTAAATAGTTTAAAAACTGGCTCATTAATGGATTCTGAAAAAGAAAAGTGAAATTACTGTATAAGAGACTTCCCTGTGCATCTCATGTGCTGGGTTTTAATACTTGGCGGCGGCAGCAGTGCTGACACCCAGAGGATACAGAAATTAAGAACACTGAAATTAAACTCAAAACACTGACTTGGAAAAGGTGCTGAGGGTTGTGGACACTTCTCTTTATGGGAGACCACTGCCAGGCTGGCCAGGGGACCATCTAGCAGAAAGGGGTAATACATCCTGGTTACAGAAACAGTTTGAGATGCCCACCTGTTTGTTTTGTCCTCGAGTTGTAGTGTCCACACTTCAGAATGCAGTTATGTATTAATAAAGAGGGAAATAGTTCAGATAATACACAGAAATAGTTTAATGTCTGGGTAACCTGTCTTGCACTGAGAAAGTCAAAAGTCACTGTCTCACGTGTGCTAAAAAAATAAGTTTCACATAAGACTAATCAGTGAGATTCTCTGATCAGTGTACTGCAGGTAGTCTAGCTGCACATTTCAGAATTGTCTGCTACAATTCTTCATAGTGCAACAAGAAGTCTTGTGGGATAAAAGTGTGTTATTGCCAGCATGGGTGACAGGTAGTACCTGCACCTAGATCCCTTTCTCCAATGCTGCAGCTGTGTAACTGACATTTCTCGAGGCTCCAAACCAGCATATGAGCAGGGAAAAGTTTGCTTTCTAAATTATGTAATAGCACATCCCATGCTACTGCCTTATTTCTCTTGTCTGCAGGACAATAAAGTCAATGGTGTGACTTGCTGTACTCGGATGCTGGGCTGCACGTACCTGCATCCTTGGATCCTGCCCAAACCACATGTCAGTTCCATTCCACTGACTGTACAAGATGAATTGCTACTTCTAGGGAACAAAGCTCTCTGGGAACATCTTTCTTATGCAGAGGCTGTCTCAGCTGTGCGGCACCTACACGACCCACTAGCTGCCGCAAAGAAACTCTGCACTTTAGCCCAAAGCTATGGTTGCCAAGACAATGTTGGTGCAATGGTGGTATGTCTGAACATCAGTGAGGACAACTGCACGTGTGAGATGCACGGCCTCACTCTGACAGGCCCTGGGGGATTTAGTTCTACCACCACCAAACCAGCAACACCTTCATGTAGCAGTGGAATTGCTTCAGAGTTCAGCAGTGAACTGTCTGCTTCTGAGGTTAGCAGTGAGGTGGGCTCTACTGCATCAGATGAACACAGTGCTGTTGGTCTCGATGGCAGCTTGCTACCACGACAAGAACGACGTTGCAGCCTACATCCTGTGCCCCCCTCAAGCATCTTTCAGCGCCAACATTCCAGTGCCACCTTCTCTAGCAACCAGTCTGACAATGGTCTAGATAGTGATGATGAGCAGCCTGTGGAAGGTGTGATGACAAATGGCAGTAAAGTGGAGGTAGAGGTGGACATCCATTGCTGTAAAGGAAAGGCTCTGGAATTACAACATCCTGCTGCAGAGTACAGCTCTTCTACTCCAGGGCCAGAGGATGACTCTGGGCTTGTACTCATCATTCGGAGGCAGAACAGTGTAAACAGCAACACTGTGCAGAGAGGGGTTAAGGAGAAGTGTGAACTCCAAAAATCTCTTTCCACATGTTGTCTTTATGGAAAGAAGCTTTCCAATGGCTCCATAGTGCCCTTGGAGGAGAGCCTCAACCTCATTGAAGTAGCGACAGAGGCACCCAAGAAGAAGACAGGCTATTTTGCTGCTCCATCCCAGATGGAGCCAGAAGATCAATTCGTGGTGCCACCTGATCTGGAAGAGGAAGTGAAGGAACAAATGAAGCAGCACCAGGAGGACAGAGCAGATCAGGAGCTGAAAGAAGAGCATGCAGCATCCCTGCCAGAGGAGTTTGACACAGCTCTGTAACCCTACGAGTACCATTCCCACATTATCTGTCCCAGGAAGCTCTGTTTAATAAGGGCTGTCATGCCCTCTGAGTGAGCTGGGATCTGCAAGGAGTACAGACACCTGCTGCTTCCTTAATGGAGTTGAGGAAGAATCAGGAAGGCCAACGTCTAGGCTGTCCACTTAACCACTGTAGCATCTCAGTTGTTCTATGAGCAGACAGATCAGCAGCTGAGCTCTGTGTTAGGGACTGTCTGGTAAGTCTTTGAACCCTGAGATTCTGCCAGCTGTGCTGGAAAGGGGCTGGCATATGTGTGTGTGGGGTGAGGAGGCTGCTGAGAGAGAAATGCTCAGTGTTTAGAGTCCTGTGAACATTTCTGATGCAGTGTCCCACCCTCCCCCCCCAGCACCTGACTTTGTTATTCCTTGAAAGAATACAGACAGTTGCAATGAGGCTGACCTGAGAATGGTTTCCTGTATTAATTGCAAGCACTTTTATTTATTGCACTTAAGCTGTTCTTTTCCCTTTCAGCCCAGCACTTTATTATTTAGGGTTAGGGGAGAAAGCACTCCACAGCAGGTATGCTGTGGACTTTTCCCAATTAATGTTCTTAGGATAGTGGAGGACTCAGGGTACCAGTGTTCTGATGAGCACTGGTGTAGGGGAGAGTGAAGGTTATGGTGGGATCATTCTGTGCAGGATGAGAAAACACAGCTGAGTGATAAGCAGGTGCCAACCGATGCATTTTATATGGAGCATAGGAAAGATGAGGACTGGTTGAATAAGGCAATGTGTAGATCTAGTGGCTCCAGCTGCAGAGCACAGACCCACCTCAGCAGCAGCTTGGCCACCTTCATCATGGATGCTTCACAGTAGAGGCTTCCTCTACAGAAGACATGGGATAAAGCCAGGAGCTTGTGCTTGTCTCGGTGGTCAGTCAGAAGAGCCAAGCTGTAAACAATGGTGTGCTGCTCTAAGACTGGCAGAAGCATCCAGTGCTCTTTTCCATCAACATAAACCTCTGCATTGTCAGCTACAGCATCTTTGCTTGCCTCTAGAAGCAGGAGTCATATTCCAAATACACAGCAACCAGCATTTCATGGTATGTGCCCAATTTGGCCACAAACAAGGTGAAAGTGTACTTGTTCCTAAGCCTTCAGCACAAAAGCAAAAATTAAACTTTTCATCTTATTCACATTTTTATCAGCACTGAAAAAGATGTTTAAAACAGTCCCACTAATGATGAACTGGCTAGTCTGCACTCAGATGCCTTGTATTTCTATTTGGATTTTTGGTGCAGGGTGTAAGTTGGCTGCCCATGTTGTCATCTTGTATAAGGGTTGTGGAGGTCACTGCCTCTGTAGCATGCAGATCTGCCTTCCTTCCTGACAGAGCTGGATAGCAGCTGTCCTTGTCATGTCAGTGGTGCAATAATCCTGACTGTGATGTGGGCTAGTGCCTTTTCTTCATTAATTATATATTTATGAAGAAAACATAAACGTTTCTTCTGAAGAGATCTGAGGGGCTTGAGTTTTCTATTTTTGGATCAAATTTGGGCCTTGCTCAGGAGGAAATACTGTGCAGACTATTTGTGGAATTCTGTCAATATAGATCTTTAGACAAAATCTAATGGAGTTTTACTGAGATTTCAGAGCACCTTGAATTTCTTCTCACTAGGAAAAAAAGGTATTTCTGTCATGCACAAGGAGCAACATTTTAGGATATACTTTGTGCTAATTGCAGTGTAATCATAAAACAACCCAACTCTTTGCAAAGTTTAAACTCTCACAATTTTTGGTTGTTTAAATGCTTATTTCGTTTGGAACTGGAGGTTGAAGCTAGTTCTTAAAGTCACAGAAACAACAGCACTTGAATCCTTTAGGCAGAGGAAAAACAGCAGAAAAGATTCAAATGCTAAACCCCAAAACTCTTTCATGTTATCATCATGTAAGTATGCAGGAGAGGTTCATCTGCAATGTATTCAACTGCAACTTTGGATTCTGTTACTGGTGATAATTTTACCAAATATCTGTGCCTAGCCTCACTGTTTCTGATATCTGAAAGGCTGTGGAGCAGCCTCCATTCAGTATGGGACTGATGCAGAAACCCTTATTTCTGAGTAAGACTCTGACAAGCCCTGCACTCTGAGTGGCACGTATGAATGCAAATCAGGTCTCTGTTCCTTGCACTGATGTGGAAAGTCCAGTGTATCCTTGCCAGTCTGAATCAGTAGTATTGCATGCAGAATTGCCACAAGGAGTTAGTAATGAACAGCTCTACCTAGCTCAGTGTTAAAGGAATAAGGAAAACACAGCTCTGCAATAGAGCATGCAGATTTCTGAACTGTACTTCTTAGAGGTAGTGGCAGAATGGAACAGAAAGAATTCCTACTTGGACTTTTTCTCCAGTGCTGTTTCTGGTTTTGAAGCAAAAAGGGAGTTTAAATACAGCCAGCTCCTGTTTTCTATGGGTGTGAACTGTCATGGAAGACATGGCTTGTTATCTTTCTTCCATTCCAGGCAGAATCCACAGATTTCTGTGAAGCTGGTATTATGGACTCTGGGAAGCACAGGCTGAGTTGACTTTAGCTGTTCAAAATAGTTTTTCTCTGACTAAGACAAGCGCTGGTGTCCTCAAGCAGCTTTTGGGTATTTTCCATGTGCTTCTTCCAAGGATTAAGCTTTTCCTTTTCCATTTCAGCCACAGTATTGTGATGCTTTTTCTCCAGTCATCCAAAATCTTTTTCATGCATTAAAAATAGTGCCTGTTCATCACAAAAAGCGCTGTTTTTTCCTAGGCCAGTTTTGGGTGTCAGCAAAGACACTGGCATAATTTTTTTGTGCAAATGTCTTGGATTTTCTAACACAAGATTCCAACTGCTGAGACACGCTTCAACGTCACTGTCATCCAAAGAAATGGGTTTTTTTCTGACATTGGTCAGTCAGTGGTGTGGCTGGGTTATCTTCATCTGTCTGGTGAGGACAACGCACAGAACAGAGTGCTTCCCTCCACTACCTTTTGTTTTCCTTCCTCCCTGTGTGTCTCCCCTACTGTATTTATTAACACTACCTTAGATTTCAAGCTCCCAAGGAGCACTGCTGTAGGTAGAACAGGTATGAATGGGCAGTCTACTGAAGGACTCATAGCAGGGTATAGAAAGTGTCTTCCCAGTTATCTTCCTGTTCTCCAGTCCCTTCCCTGATTTTTGTTTTTGGAGTTTGCAGAGATACTATGTGACCATCAAATATAACCACATCACTGAGAATGTCCCACTCATTTGCAGACTTGCTGTTAGAGAGGGGTTCTCACCTTGAGGTCCTCTGGCTATTTTGTCCCTGCTGAGCAATGCAAGCCCTCCCACACTGCACGCAGCCACAGCCAGGTGAGGCTGAGGAGGTTGCTGGTCCATCTCTTCAGTAATTCTGGCTCTGCTGATAAGCATGCTTGCTGAGACAGGTACTGTGAAGGCACTGCTCTGTCCTGTCCTGTCCTGTCCAGAAAGGCTTCTGTAAAAGGAACCCATAAAGGTTATATTGAGTGGTGGGTAGTGGGGGCCCAGGTGTTAAAGGTAAGAGCCTCCAAGTTGCCCCCAGAACAAGGAACAGGCCCAGTGGAGGCAGCATCACAGACTGTTCATACCAGACTGCAATCTTCAGTTAGATGGGAGGGTAACATCCTGTTAGAAGGAGGAGGAAGTATTTTCCTCTTTCAGGGACAAGCTGCTGTGAAGTCTGAAATCTTTCCTGTAGTACACAGGACCTTCAGCCACACCTAAGGCTTTGGACCTGTGGGGTTTCTGCACTCCTTCCAGATAGATGCTGGTGGCTTTTGTGTCACTTGCCAAAGGCCTTTCTTCAGGCAGATCACCTCTTTGGTCTTGTGCAATCATTGTCTGCTGTACTATTGCTCTCTAAAGACTCAACTGTATTTTTCCTCTTTTTTCACATTTTAAAATGTTACCTTTTTAAAATTATTAATATGATCTGGCGCATGTTAAATATTGCAGTGTACCAACTGTTTACTAAATAATCCTTTTTCATGCTTTTTTTGTTTTTAAAAAGGAGAGTATTTTCTGTATCCCACTCTAGCATGCACCTATAATGATCCCTGTTTTTACTGTGTATGGGAGTAGGTTGTCCAATGAATGTGCCCTCAGCACTGTGGCCTATGTACTGCTTTGGAAAGGCAAATAACGTGATTGTTGGAAAACACTAGTCCACTGATTCTTTATTTGGATGTACAGAGAGGTTCATGAAGGAAGAGTATTTTTGCATTGAATTTTCAGCTGACTTAGCAATAAAGATTTTTACTTTCATCTAACAGCTTATTCTGATTCTGTTACTGTGCTGGAAAAAATCTCTGCAATATCCCATTCAAAGGTAGCTGTGTCTAGCAGCAGCTGTGCTGCAGGTCATTCACTGAGCTCTGTGTGCTACTTCACTCATCAGCCTTCCACACAAAAACTTCTTTCAGAACACTGTGAGGGTAGAATTAGGCTTACCAGTTATTAAGGCAGCTTTCTGTTTCCTGCTAGAGGAATGCTGCCCTGTGGACTTGCTCTCAATAGCACTGTACAGCTCTAGAAGTAGCTGCAACAAGAGGAAATACAGAAATGTTAATAGAAACGGGACAACAATGAACTGTCCATGTAAATCCCTGTGCTGAGACACTTGACGTTAAAAGGCAAAAAAAAAGCAAACCCCAAAGCACGTAGTGTGTTCCTACTTGGCATCTGTTTTACTTTAGTGTCTCTAGTTCTAATAGTGTTCCATGGTTTTGGTAATTGTGAGGATTTAGTCACTGGTGCCAGTGAAAGAAGAGCTATGTCCAAGGCAAAGCATGTTTCTGGTATGTTTAGTTTTTTAATATGGACAGAACTTATCTGTGAGACTGCGGTGGTTCCATCCTCATATGAACAATGCATACAATGGACACTGCTCTGAAGTGGCATTTCATTTTGAGACATGAGTTGGTGATTCTAGTGCTACTTTTCCCAGTTAAATTTCCTATAAAAGTTTTTCTAAAAAAAAAAAAAAAAAAAAAAAAAAAAAAAAAAAAATTAAGAGCAGCATCTCATTTCTCCAACTTGTACATTGCAAATGTATTTTGAAAACAATATACTTTATATTCAATCACCCATTTGACCTCATAAAGCTTTTGTCTGATTATCTCAATCTAGGGCATTTTTTTAAGCAAAACTCTTATATACAAGTTATATAAAAAGACCATTTTATACATAAATGCACCCTCTCCAGGAATTTGAAAAGGCATTGTATCACAAGTTAGACTGAGTTTGAGAGTTTTTTTCAGGATTTTTTCATGACCTTATAAATGTCATGTTCACACTGGTCTGTTAATTCCAAGAGACCTAGAAGGAAGCAATATTTAATTGTCACAATCATGGGCCTCAGTCACTTGTTTTTAAGAGCTCTTTTCTCAGCAAAGTCACATGCCTTTTGTAGACAGTTTCAGCTACAAAAAGCTGTTAATTGACAGAAGCATGTAGCGGCAGTACTGGTAGCAAGGCCTCACTACTGAAGGGGCCACCTGAGAGTGGGATGGAAGGGCTGCCTGTGAAGCAGAGACAATCCACTGCATCAGCTTTGAGCCACTAATAACTCAATAGTGCAAATTCAAGCTAGGAATAACCTGACTCTACCATATTTAGAACTATGCCAGCTTGGTGGATGTTCTGTAGCATTAAGGCTGTAGTGTCCAGAAGAAAGGAAAGCATACTGCTTCATCTCAGAAAGGAGACTGGCAAAAATCAAGACCATTACTGGAGTGGAGGAATCATTTGAAAGTTTTTATAATTGCAGTGGCTTCTGTTTCTGTTCATGAACTGTCCTATAATCTCTGACAGCTAGGCCTGCACTGAGCAGGTATGCCATGGCAGCCATGCAGCCCAATAGACCAGCAGCAATCTCTGCCCCATGCAAGCTGCACCAGAAGCCCTGATAGCCTTTGCTTTGATAAAGCTTCTCTCTCTCTTTGCACACTGATGAATTATAAACGCTCAGCAGAGAATGGAGGAAATAGTACAGAGCAGGCACTGTGCCAACTGCAATCACTACGTACAAGATGCATTCAATTAGCAGCCATGGTGGGAAGTGCCACGGGACCTGCAGAACACCAACCAAAATTAGAACACAAGGGAAGACCAGGAGACATCCTGCCACGACCATCGCGGCCCTCGCAATGGGCAGCTTCAGTAGGTAGAACCGCTGGTCAAGCTGCTGGGCTCGCTCCCCATCCGCTCCGCTGAAGCCGCTGTAGGCCCCGCCGTAGTGGTAGTAGTAGATGCCCCCCAGGGCGGGGAGGCCGGTGTATCCTCCCGCCGAGCCACAGGACACGGAGCTGCAGACCAGGATCAGGGCGGCGAGCAGGACCTCCACCATCTGGCAGCAGGCTGGAGGGGAGGCCGAGGTGAGTCTGCGGCCCCAGAGGAGCGCCCGGGGGGGAGCCGGGCCAGACGCTGCGCTCCGCAGGACGGAGGGAGCGGCTCCCGCGGGCCGCGCTCACCCCGGCCCGTGCGCAGGTACAGGCAGCGGCGGCGCTCCAGCGACCCCGGCACGGTGCGGCTTCCCCGCGGCCCCTCTGCCTCTGGTGCGGGTACGGCGCTAAGGAGAGATGATGGCAGGGATGGCAGTGACCCGTCCAGGCCCCTCGCTGCCGCCAGTCCGGTCCGCTCAGCCCCGGCGCCGACCCGGACCCTCGCGGATCCCCGCCCGCTGCCCTCACCGCCCGCTGCCCCTCACCGCCCGCTGCCCTCACCGCCTGCCCGCCCCGGCGCGTCCCCCCTGCGCGGCACGGGGGCAGCCCCGCTCCGCCATGGCCCGGCGCGGCCCCGCTCCGCGGGCGCTGGGGACGGGGGGCCGGGCCGGGCCGCCCCGGGGTACCGCCGGCGCGGTGAGCTCCGTCTCGTCCGCTCTCCTCCGCCCCGCCGGCGCTGCTCTGAGGCGGTGGAAGCTCCGACCGGGCTAGGCCCTGCCCCGGCTGAAGGTGCTCAGCTCCCCGGCGCAGGTGCGCGGTCTTCCGGGACCTGCGCACGGTTCAGCCGCTGTTGGCGTGTGTGCCCGCTCCCCTTCGGCCCACGGACACACTCCCCGCAGCCCCTTGTGGCCATAACGCCTCGAGGTTTCTCACCTGCCACAGAACATGCTTGTTAGAACACATTGGAAATTGACTAAATTTAACTAACTAAATGTTCACAGTTGTACAAGTTCTACCTTTTCCTGTGCTGTGAGTTTTGGTGTGTGTTCTTAATTCAGTTTTTCTGCCCCCTCGTGCCTCTGCAAACTTCATCCGTGCCTCTCTGTTCCCTTATGCAACCCACTCCCAGCCTCTCTGGGCCTGCCCTAACTCCCCATAACCCATCCTGTGATGCAGTGACTGCACCTCTATGCAGCACTCAAGACACAAGTGCACTGGCAGTTTACATCAGCAGAACAACTGTCTGTCTTGTCCTGGCAATGCACAGCATTTTGTGGCTTCTCCAGCTGCCCCAGCACAGAGCCTTTGTCTCCCGACAGTCACTAGCACCATGGGATCTGCCCTGCAGTGCAGCTGTGAGGTTCCAGTTCAGCCCTTGGCAGACCATGTTCAGGTAATTTTCTTTAAATACATTACCTTATATTTAGCCATACAGAACCAAGTAGACCCCTTTGGTGTCTTTTTGCCAGAGGCCACTTCAGACTATATGATGGGACCTTTTTACTGACAATAATGTCCTGCTGCCAGTCTGTCCTCCCATCCTGGTAGAGCACAGCAGCCATCACCTGCCAGCAGAGGAGGTGATGAATTACTCCTGTGGTATTGGTGGTGGCCAGAGTGAAGGCAAGGATCTCACCCATGTACAAGTGCCAGCATTTCTCAGGGCTGGTAAGGGCAGAGCTGATTCAGGAAAGGGAGAAAAGTAAACAGCAGGACAATCTGGAAATACAGAAAACTCCACATTCAGAGCAAATGCTTTTATTCAAGAGTTTGACCAAACACTGCCTGTAAAAGCTCTTTGCTTTTACAGAAAAAAAAAAGGCAGCAAAGAAATGTTTAAATGTTTTCATTACATTTAGGAAAACACATTTTTTGGGAAAACAGTTATAGTGTAAGGTCTCAGACACAGTACCTGAATATGTGCCCTGAGAGGCACACATTCCAAATTTGTCTCTAAGATGCAGAAATACATTTCCTCCATCTGTAAGACTGATGGCAACAGTAAGACTGTTTCACCCTTCTGTCTCTACAGCAGCAACAGCAATAACCCTATAGACTTATATGGTGAAAAGCCTAAAAACTGCACCTCAGCACTGTAGGAAAACATTCTCCTCAACACTTCACCTGATTCCACTGGAGATCTGAAAATGCATCTTAAAATTTACTTAGAATGAGATAAGAGAGAAAGAAAACAAAAGAACCATTGTTTCAATGCTCAGTTCAGATAGAGGAGACAGAAATTGTGTGTGATGTTAAAAAATGGAGAATCCATAGGAAGCTTAGGATGAGAAGTCTGGAGATAGTGCCGGTGCTCAGCAGTGAGGCTGTTGCACACACCTTTTCACCAGCATATGTTGCATCACTTATGTTGACGTGCCAGAAAGCAGGCCTCCTTGCTGGGTGGGTTTAAAAGTTTTAGCAACCATTTGTGAACTTCTAGGGTCATGCACAGTGCAATTTTTCTTAGTAGACCTTTTAACTGAAAGGGACATGAAGAACTAAGTTGAATAATCATGAGTCACAAGAAGGGATGAACTAAGTGTTTCTTGTGCAGAGTGTTGCTGCTGGTCATCCAACAAACTGAGATAAAGCTTTCTTTGGATTTGTGTGTGATTTTCTTGTTCAAAGACAGGAAGTCTTGCTCTGTTGGAGATGTGTTCATTGTTTTACTAGAGTGTTTGCTGCTAAAAAGTAAGGTACAAGCTTCAAGATACTGTAGAAGTGAGTCAGTCTTATTTAATTTCTGTTGCTATAATGAGAAATCTTAAAAACATGCTTTGTGTCACTTCACTCCTGCTCAAAGTACTGTAGCTGAACTTGGTCAGCATCATCTTCTGGATTCCTGTTCTTACTGCAACAAATACCAGTCAGCAGAACAGAGCAATAGGAAATTGAGGATACCAGTATTAATCTTCACCACTGTTTTGGGTTCTCTTTGTAATTATTTATTAGTATTATTTTTGGCTTCTTTGGTTCTGGCTACTTCTGATATCATTGCTGTGCTAAGGGAGGGAACGATCTGGTTTGGCTTGCCATGGACCAAGAGCTCTGACCTGGTTCAGTGCCCTCCCTGGGAACTTGGAGGGTAAAGTGGTAGGAGCAAGTCATGATCTGCCTCATATGTCTCCAGTTTGAGGCAGCTGGAAGCTGCAGCACAATCACTGCTGAACACCACAACCAGATTTATTGACTGTCCCACATAAATAAATAATCATGGGACAATGAGTGCAGCATGATGACGATAGAACAGTACTGTAGAAAAGAACTGGAGGTTACTGTGAATGACAAACTGAACTCAAGTCCACAATGTCACCCTGTTGCGTAAAAACTAACATTTCTAGGGTGTATGAACAGGAATGTCACATGTAGGACGTGTGAAGAAATTCTTCTGCCCCCACTTCAGCACTGGCTTGGCCTCAGTCTTGCACACTGTGTTTCCAGAGGTGAGTGAATCAGCTGGAGGGGATTCAGAAGAAAGCAAAAGAAATATCTAGAAATACAACCTGTGAGAAAAAGATTGATCGCAGACATCTCATTTGAAATAACTAGCATCTGTTAACAGCTTGCAAGCTTGTAAATAGAGAGATGTCTAGACAACTTACAAACTTGTAAAAATCTCTTGTCAAGAGCAGGGAAATATTTTGTTCACTCTGTTTGCTGTTGGCATGGTCAGAAAACAGAGAGCTTAGCTTGAAGCAAAAGGGATTTATTTTAGGCACCCTCAATGTTTCTCACACACACTCCAACTCCACCATTTTATAAGGAGATGAACAGTTATTGCAGGAGTGGATTAGTAAGCAGATGGTAGGTTTCCATCACTGGGGCTGTAATTCAGTCATGAGAAGTCTGGCCCATCTGTGTGAAAAGGAAGTGCTGGTGCTGCCCACACCATCCACTATAAGCTCACAGTGTCATCTCACGCCACAAAGCCGCTGTATCCCTTTCCACACCACCCCCATTAGCTGGTTACTGTCCCAGTGGCTCCAAGGCCATTGCAGGATAGCTGCTATGACATATCATGCAACAGCTCAAGTCTCTGAAGCTGTAAGTCAAACACAGGATATGCACTTACCTGGGTAATATTTACCTGGATGTAAACAGACACAAGTCTGGACAAGATGTTTTCTTTCACTGTGCCTGTACTCAGGAACCAGTAACATTCACACTTTGTGGAACATTCCTCTCAGCATCTGTAACAGGAATTGCAAGTCTTTCATCCTGGCTGTTGGGCCTGTAGCTCACTGGTGCTTTCACCTCCCCACAAACCTGGAATACACTCTGTGTCTCTCAATGTGCTGGCTATGGACACAGTGCCCAGGCTGAGCAAGCAGACTCCTGTACCTGCTGGACTCTGTCCCCACCCAGCACCACAGTGGTCAGTGGCTGGGGAGTACAGTCTGCTGGAAGGAGTAGACATAAATTGCTGGAAATAAAAGCAAAATATAAGGAGGTAACAAGTGAAGTAATTTGTTACTAACCCTGGTGGATTTTTATGCAGAGTACTGGTTGGGTGTCTGTCCCTGCACCTCCCAGTGCACCTTGAATTGGCAAAACTATCCTTTTGTACCTGCAGTCTGACAGAGACAGGTTTGTCAGTGCAACAGTGCTTGAGCCTGTGCTCTCCTTAAGCAGCTGTTTGCCAGTCCCGCTTTGTGTCTGCAGCTCAGTCTGGAAGCCAAATTGCTTGGTCTTACTGGCTTCACCTCTGCTCACAGAAATGGGACTCTGGGAGCCCTGTTACCAGAGAAAGGCAGTACCATAAAAAATGCTGAAGTTATCACTAGTTTCTCCTTCCAATAGGAAGAGATAAAAATCAATTGCTCAAGCTACACAAGGAAGAGGGTGCTGAAGAGGTATGCACAAGATACATGTGGGCTTGACCTGCTGGGACAGAGGAGCAAACTACAGAGGGTGGAGGCAAGTCAGTGGGGTGGGATGTTAGTGGGAAGCATAGGATCTGACAGTCCAGAGAGATGGCAGCCTTGCTAGCAGAAACGCATCCTGCAGGGTATGGCTGCCTCTTTCACCGCACCATGGAAGGATGGCTTGGCCATTTTCTAGAATACTAACTGCTGAATTGTGTGTTCATGCTTTTGTCCTGTGAAACACTGCACAACAAGGGGTGGGAGGATAGGGGCTGCATACCCCATGTGAAAACATCTGGAGGAGGACTGGAGTCATGCAGTGAGAGGAGAAGGGCATTGTAATAGCCGGAGAAACCCACTGGTGCCACTGTACACTTCTGTCCTCACCCTGCTTCTCACCAGGTTCTCAGCCTTATGTAACTGAGCCTCCTGTGTCTCCAGAGCCACATTTTTCCCCACCTTGGCAACAGACTTCCACTGTGCCCTCCCCTGAACCCCACTGCTGTGTGCAGTATGACTGGTAGGGCTCCAGTTGCGTCAGTTTGGGGATTGTTGCTAGGCAGAATGTACAGCATCGTCCTTGAAGCCTCCCAATGCTGTGTTTAACCCTGCCAGGGCTGCAGCATGGCAAGAGATGGGGCCAGCTGAGGGAAGTGAGAAAATAACCCATAGGTGCTTGGGTTGCATAAACTTCCAAAGGTTACTCATGTCAGGTTTCAGTCAAAAGAAGAGAGAAATTGTGTAGCCCTCAGCGGAAGACAGTCCAAACAGCTTCAATACAAGATGTTGCTCTGTGAAAGGGTTTTGAAAGCTGCTATTCCTTGTCCAAAGGCCTTGGGGCTAGTTGCAATGAGAAGTCTACCCTCCAGTCTGGGGCTAAGGATCCTGGCTAGACCTGCTGTCTGCATTCCACCGCCTTCCAACCTGCCTCCAACCCTGAATCCTTGGCCCCCATTGTGGCCTCAGAAGTGCCCAATGCAATCCTGGGGTCAACAGCAGGTCATGGCTCCCCAGCAGTGTCAGCCCAGCCACAGCACTGAGGGAAGGGGCCACTCATATCACCTGGGGAGGTGAAGCCTTACTGATGGTTGTGTAGTGAGCATGGGTTGAATGCAAGGTCCTTTGTCCTCCAACTCAGGTGCAGGTATAAACAGGTAAAATTCACAGTGACCACTGGCCTCTGCAGTGAAGGCATCAGCAGACTTTTGCTCGAAGGTTGGCAAGTCCCTCTTGTCCCTGAGCAACTCTTCAGTCTCTGGCCATCTGCTGCCATGGCAATAAGGGAAGACTTGGAGGAACCCTTGGAAGGCAGAAAGAGTGCAGATATCTCTCATTAATCCTAACCATGCAGGAATTAAGAGGCAGGAAGCCATAGGTTCACATCACTTAGCAAAAAAGGGCCTTCTGGGAATGGTATCATCTGTGGTTTGCAATACCATCAAAGAAGGAAGAATTGCATAATTTCTGCTGGCTGCCAGAATTATGAGTTTACTTGGGTCTTGCAGCAACAAAAAAAAGACAAAACAACCCCAAACCAAACCAAACAAAAAAAAAACCAAAACACCAAAATAAAAAACAAACAAAAAAGACCTCCAAACCAATGACAAATTGAGCTTACTTTAATCCTTCAGGTCCTGGTGCCTCCAAAGTACTGGCTAGGGAAGTGCTTTCCTCCCTTTAGTTTATTGAGGAAGATGCCTCCCAATTGTAATGAAGCCACAAACAGGTGTTTGTCAGCTGGTGCATTGGGATCCCAGAAGCTCTCAGGTCAGGACAGACTGATGGCTTCCTCAAGCTTTATGATCCATCAGTGCACTCTCATTGAATTACAAGGTACTAGTGCTGGAATACCAGGACTCTGCAGATTTGCCCCCAGCAGTGTTTGCAGACTGAGGAAAGTGGTGGCAAAGGGTGGCAGCCCAGGCACGTCAGGAAGGCAAGCTGTGTCCTTAGGCTGCCCCCAGAAAGAGTTAATGCAGAGCCATGTTCCAGGTGTTTGAAATGACTACAGTTGCAAAGGGGAGGAGAGGTCATTTTTGGGTGGGGAGAGCAGCCCTCTCTGTGGACCAATGGCTAAATGATTCAGTCTCAACGCCCAGTTTTGGGGATTATTTCATGGCAAAAATTCACAGGACTTTCCTCTCAAGGGGATTTGTCCTGGATGAAAACTAGGGTCTGGACCCCCAGGCTTGTTGGTGTCTCCGTGTCTGTGCTGTAGAAGGTAAGGTGCTGTGTTCCGGTGCCTTGCTTCTTTCAGGTGGGTAGTGGGGAGTTCTTCCCTGGCCACCTACACTGAAGGTATCTATTGTGCCTGTGTCTACAGCTCCCCTTTTCAGAAGGACCATGCTGCAGGGTGGTGTAAGGGCTCTGCTAGGATAGACTGTGTATTTGGGGCACAGCCCAGCTGTTGAATTGAGATACATGGCTCATTTCTAGCCTGAGTTTTTTTGTGCAGCCCTGCTGTATATTTCTTCAGCTGACTTTCTTCTGGTGGCAAGGAAACACAGAAGGCTTCAGCAGAAAAGCTGAAATCTTGCTTTGTGACCCTGTTAAATCAGCCTGGGCTGCTATAAATGGCCTAATAATGCACTGCTGGTAGACTAACTGCAGCAGCATGGGCATCTCTAGGTGCAAACTTCACTGAAACAGTGAGAAATTTGTTCAGGTAGCAAATCCTGTCTGAACCAGGTAACACTATAGCCCTTCTGGCTCAGCCTCTGCCAAGGAAGGGGAAGCTGTGCTATAACTGTGAGTGTGGCGCTATGCAACTACCATCAGGAAAGGGCCACTGTTTATTGAATTGCTTTTCAGGGGAGCAGAGAAATAGGACAGAATAGAAAGCATAAGCAGTTTGTGGCAGGATTACAAGGTAGTGTGCCAGTACTAGCAAGAACAGACTTTGTGGCCCAGGAGGGTTGCCTCTTCTGTGCCCTATCCCTAAGCTGCAGGTGGAAATCCCTGGGTCATCATCAGTTTGTAAGTTAGGCTTTTCCTGCCTAGTCTAGCTTGTGTTCTGGGTATTGCATGCTGGGATGTGTAAGTCACTTTTGTGTCCATTTTTGGGTCTTGGAGGCAGCTGTTTCTCTGCTGTGCCTTGTTTGTTACTCAGTTTCAGGTTGAACTACAGGTCCTTTGGCACAGTGCTGCCTCCTGGATCTCCTAAGATGGCCAAGTCTTGCTCCATTCCCTAAGCATTGCGTTTTGCTCTAGGCTCTCTGGGCTGGGCTGTTCTCTGCTGACAGAAGTGTCTAACCTCTATCCTGCCACTGCCCAATGCATCCTGGTAACATTGAAGAACAACTACCTTTTTGGCATCTGATATTTGATTTATAGTGCTGCATTTCTGTCTGTCTGTCTGAGGAACATACTGCATATGAACACACATAGTGGGCCAGCCCTTGTGTATGCAGGTTGAGGCGTACAAGTTGATAGCTGGGGGGAGAAAGTGGGTGACTTGGTCCTTCTGTCAGTGGAATACTGAATCTGCAGTCAAGCAGTGACTACAACATGCTGCTAATTCTTGGCTTCTGGCTTTAGTGGGGCTTTTTCCTCCTCAGTGCAGGAGGTCCATACTAGGCAGGGGTGCAGCTAACACATGGAAGTGCTTTAATCTTTCCCACTGTATTTCTCTCTCACTTATGCATGGGGTTTCACTACATCCTGGCATCAAATATGGCCCTACTTGCTGCTGCTGCTTTGTCCATAGGCAGTAGGTAGTGTCTACAGCTTTTGGAAGTTTTACCTATGGGCTGCATCCCCAAATGCATCCCCAAACAAGATTCCTTGTCTGACATGTGTTAACTAAGCCCAGGAAATTCACTTTGCACTGACAGCTCTCAGGATGGACTCGTACCTGATCCAAGTGAATGGCCATGGAGATCATGCCCCTCTGCTAGATGTTCACCTCAAGAACACTGGGAACACCATATCACCAGGGAAGGTGAAGGGTCGGAAGCCAAGATGGGCTGTAAGGGCTTCTGAAATGTCAAAGAAGACTTTCAATCCCATCCGAGCCATTGTAGACAGCATGAAGGTGGAACCCAACCCAAAGAAAGCCATGATCTCCTTGTCCTTAGGTGAGCATAGTCCTGTGGCTGAAGCCTCCAGGTATTTGGATTAACTGTGTGGCTGACAGATTGCAGGGCTCTGAAGCACAAAGTTTGTGCAAACAGCAAGGGATAGGTCAGACAACCACACAGCTCTGTGCCTGTCACAGATCAGCGAGAACTTTACTGTTTTTTCGATCTTTAAAAAGGAGACCCGACGGTCTTTGGAAACCTTCCCACAAATGATGAGGTCACACGGGCTGTGAAGGAGGTTTTGGACTCAGGACAGTACAATGGTTATGCTCCGTCTGTTGGTAAGTTGACAAAGCTCATCCTGTGAGAGTTGGATGACATCATATGCCAGGTGCTACCCCACAGCAGGTATATGGAGCCCACAGACATCTTTCCATTAGCACCCTACAGCTGCCCTCACCAACAGTCACATGAACACACAAGTATGTGTCCCCCAGATACACCTGTGTGCTCTTTCCTGTGTGGGCTGTTTGAGGCCTGGAGATCCTGCCGAAGCTGTTAGCTGCCCCAGCCATTGGGGCAGACAGGATATCAAGAACCTATAAGGGCTTGGGGACTGTGTGTCCCTGCTGTGGGTTATAGCCAAGCTCCTTTCTGATGTGCCTTAACCAGGAGTTCCCTTGGGCTCCCTGACTTCACTGACACCATGAGCCTTGTTTGCAGTTAGTGTCAAAAGCATGCACAGAGCATAGATCATGCCTGTATCATGGGGCCCTCCATCTGGTGACAGGGAGGGCTGCCCCAGTGGCATTGCTAAACAATGAAAGCCATGTCTTTGCTTCCTTCTGGCTACCTTCCACTCTGCTTCTGTCAATTCCGTACCTGGGACATGCTGGGGCCAGAGTTTGCCTCCCTGCCCAAGATTTGTCCCTGCTCTTGGCCATTCTGGCCCAGCCTTGGGGCTGCATGATGCTTGGTCTGAGGCAGGACAGTTTCTGCCACCCTGGGATGCCACCAAATGGGCTTTCCCCAGATGGGCAGCAGCTGTGAGCCTTGTACTGGTAAGAAGAAAGAAACAGTACTGGTAATAAGAAGGAAAGAATCTGTAAAAACCTCCTTTCCATGTCTGACTTGTCTTTCCTCAGGCTACCAGTCCTGCCGGGAAGCTGTTGCTGCATACTACAACTGCCCGGAGGCACCACTGAAGGCCCAGGTACTGGTGCCCAGCCAAGGCATTCCCACTGCAGTGCAGACAGGGTGCTGCTGCCTGCAGACCATGGGGCATGGGAGCCCTACCCCAGCTCTCCCTCCCTACCCAGTGACAGGACTAAAGGCTAGTCAAATCATCTTGCCCCAAGGTGGCCTCCTGCTGCTCTCATCCCTTCCCTGAGCCCTTCTCCTCCACCCTCCCCAGGAAGAGGTTTTGCTTTCCACCAGCTGAAGTTTCCCTGCTTTCAGTCAGGCCCTGGCACTGTATTTTTGGCTGAGAATCTCTCCCTGGCAGAGCTGAGCCTGGATGTTATGTCACTCCTGTGTGTTCGGAGTACTTCAGAGTAGTTGTGCTTCCCACTGACATCTCTGTGCTCTTTGCAGGATGTCATCTTAACGAGTGGCTGCAGCCAGGCCATAGAGCTTGCCTTGGCAGTGCTGGCCAACCCAGGCCAGAACATCCTGGTGCCACGGCCTGGCTTCTCCCTGTACAAGACTCTGGCATTGTCTATGGGGATAGAGGTCAAACTCTATAACCTCTTGGTAAGTAGTGGCAGGCCTGGAAGGGGCAGCCCTGATATTTCTCCTCTCAGAAATACCCTGGCCCTGCCTGGAAAGTGGGTGAAGGCAACATGAGTAACCCTGGGTGCCCTGGCACACCTGACCTTGTGTGCTAAGTCCAGTTCCTCAGCTTTTACTTCCCTTTCTCTTCACTTCACTAGCCAGAGAAGGCCTGGGAAATTGATTTGGAGCACTTGGAGTCTTTGGTGGATGAGAAAACAGCTTGCCTCATTGTGAACAATCCATCGAACCCCTGTGGCTCTGTGTTCCGCAAGAGCCACCTCCAGGAGATCCTGGCAGGTGAGCCTGCCTGTGTGTTTCTGGGGCCTGGGGCATGGCTGCAGTCTGCTGTCTGCCCCCTTTGCTCATATCTCAATCACCGCAGCACCGTTACCAAAGGCTTTGCTTCTGACTGACTCTACCTCAGGAATGAGGGCTTGCTCAGTGTGGAGGTGTTGTCTTATCTAGGCAAGAACATGCAAATCATGTATCTTCCTCAAGAGCTCTGTGTGACTTGGCCTGCTCATTTCTCCCCTCTGGCTTTGCACTGGGAGTGTTCACAGGAGCCCTGTGCTTCCTTGTCCTGACAGGGAAGGCTGTGCTGCCAGTCCCCACCAGCTGGAGCAGAACTAAGCCCAGTCAGGGCAAGGATCCCCAGTGGTCAGGCTCTCCAAATGAATAGTCTGTAGGAGGAAGATAGGGACCTTGTGCCCTGAGACAGAGCTTCCCTCAGAGCTCTGCCAGGCCCTGCAGCAAAGGGCAAGTTTGTTCCCACGGAGAATGCAGGTGGCCAGGCTGAATGCCCTCTCTTCCACAGTGGCATCAAGACAGTGTGTGCCCATCCTGGCTGATGAGATCTACGGAGACATGGTGAGTGTCTGTTGCAGTCCTTTGCACTCGCAATGCTGCCTCTCCTTTTTGATGCACCTAATCCTTGGCCGTGGCAGCCAGGTCTCTAGAGGTGAGGGACAGCTCTACTTCCCAGGGCCTGGGTCCATGCCTGGAGCTCCCAATCCTTTGGGGCAGAGTCCTAGGGGAACCTCTTATGTCCAGCTCCCTTCCTCTTCCTGAACAGCTTGCTTTTATGTCTGTGCACTTACCATGTTCATACTTTGAAGCTGTGAGTTTTCACCATCGGTTTCCCACCACTTCCCTGCATCCCTTCTTGTTAAGGCTCATGCTCACACCCAGTTGTCACAGTAAGAGGCAGGGACAGCCCTAACACAGTCTCTGATCATAGGTATTTGCTGACTACAAGTATGAACCCATTGCAACTCTCAGCACCAATGTGCCAATCTTGTCCTGTGGTGGCTTGGCAAAGCGATGGCTGGTCCCTGGCTGGCGCATGGGCTGGATCCTAATTCATGACAGAAGAGACATCTTTGGTAATGAGGTGAGAACCACTGTGTTGCTGTCATGGCAACAGACTTGCAGAGTCTTCAGTATGTGGATCACCAGGTCTCTAACTGATACAGGCAGGTACTGCTCTTTTGCTCTCACGTGGGTGTTACCCAATTGTGCTTACCTGCTTTTCTGCCCCTATTTCATGTCCCTTCCTTACTCCATCTGCTCCCAGACATGGTCTTCTACCCACATCTACACTGTAACTCACTCTGTATCTCTGCTGGTCATTAATACACGCCTTGTCCTTTTTCTGTGCTTCTAACTTCTCAGAGAGCTCCAGTGTGCACTGAAAGTATTGCATGGCTTATCGGGCATGTGGAGTCCATGTGTGGTGTCTATGTGCTCTTACATGGTTTCTCTTAAAAGTAAGAACAAAGCACCTTGCAGTGCTGCCAGTACTTTATCTGGCTATTTTTCAGCTGTGTTACAAGGACAACCATCTACTGCAGTGACCTTTCCACCTAGAAGGCTCTCTGCAGAGGAAGAGGGAGAAGAGAGGACCAAATGAGTGAGCAGAAAAGCTAATATTGATTGTCCTTACCTGGCTTTGAAAGTGTGGATTGTGGGCGCAAACCAAAGGGAAATGCAAAGTTGTATTTGGAACAGCTCTGGCTTTATTTGTGTTATCTATATTCTGGCCTGGTTTGAGTCAGATCAGGAAGCTCCAAAGGTTTTCTCTGTTGGCATTTCAATCTGCAATGGAGGAACAGAGAATGACATTGTAAATAGTCTGCTAAACCTGGCATATGGTCAAACAAATGTTCTTTAGTACTTTGTATGCTCACTGAAGAGAAGGGTGTGAACAGCTGTAGAAATACAGGAAGTGAGCCTCGGAGCTGTTCCTTTCCTTTAGGGAAGCATCATCTAAGCTGTAAGTATTATGTTTTCTCAGATCAGGGACGGCCTTCTAAGACTGAGTCAAAGGATCCTAGGACCCTGTACAATTGTCCAAGGAGCACTGGAGCGTATCTTGCACCGAACACCACCTGAGTTCTACCACAACACCCTAAGCATCCTCAAGGTAAACAGGCTGTTATAGATCAAGAAGGGCTGTTCAAAAATTGTTTGGAGGGAGTCCTTCCTCTCTAGTTCGTCATTCTTCCTCTCCTCCTCCCCACTTGGAGCTGCAGTTTTGTCTGAGATTAGGATGACCCAACAGATCAAATTCCAGCAGAATTTGTTGTGGGCAGAAATGCTGTGATAACGTTCAGGCAGCCTAGCTCTGCAGCTGGAGCTGCTGACCCAGGGGATGAAGTTTGGCACTGACTTTCTGGGCTCAGCTCAGTAACACCTGCTGTACTCAAGGCCATGATCTCCCATGCTGTTTGCATTTGTTGTCCCTTTATTTGCAGTAGGCAAATCTGTTCATAGTCCTAGTCCAGAGTTTGGCTTCCAATCACTAAACTGTTTTCTGGAATTTCTCCTGTTTTGAAATTTCTCCTTTTTTCTTTTCAGTCTAATGCTGACCTTTGTTATGCTGCCTTATCAGCTATCCCTGGCCTTCAGCCTGTCAGGCCTTCTGGAGCCATGTACCTGATGGTAAGTGAGGATCACCAGCACTCACACTAGGTCTGGTTGCCAGGGCTAGTCAATGTTTCACATTGGTACTTGCCACCAGGTCTCCATTACTGTGCACTTTCAAATTGCCCTGTGCGGTAAATGCATCCCTTGATCACCTTAGAAGGCCAGGCAGGAATTGCTCACAGAGCAGAGGCCAGTAGACTTAACCCACTTGCTTCTGCACAGAACTCCATGACTTTTACTTTTCAAGACAAGGCTGTTTCACCTGGATATAAATCCTGCTGGCAACTGGAAGCCCCTATAAAACAAGGCAAAATATCATACCTCTTGTAGAAGATGAAGCCTTCTTCAGAGTAGCATGCCTGTCTTCTGCCTGTGGTGTTGCCTTTTCTTCTGCCTTTTCCCATGCCTGTTTGCTTGAAGGTTTATAATATGCTGAAATTTCCTTTTTCATCTCATCAAGCTCAATTGAGAAATTTATGACACTTTGACACATTTGAAATTTTTTTTCTTTTCTTTTGTTCCATCTCATAATGTCTCCAGTTTTTCATTCACTCTTAAAATGTGGACTCAGAACTGGACAATACTGTAGTATCTGTCTCACTCATTTCTATAGAAAAATCCTTATCACTTTACCCTGTTTCAAATTTTACTCAGAACTACACAGATCATTTTGCTTATGCTTTTTATGTAGAGGCACAGCTCTAAGATTCTTTCACACTTATTGTATTTCTGCAGTAGCTGGCCATCTATTTCAAATTAAATCATGTGTTTATTTTTGTTTTCTACTAGCTCTTTCAGAACTTATATATGCAAATTATCTATCAAATTACCTGTTTAAGAATATTTACATGAGATGTTTAAAATCTTTGGTTATAAAGGTCAGTCTGGATGAGGCCCTGAACAAGCTGATCTAGTGAGTGGCAGCCATGCCCAATGTGGAAGCATTGGAACTAAATGAGCTTTAAGGTCCCTTCCAATCCAATCCATTCTGGGATTCTATAAACAAATGGCCAGAATAGCACTGTCTTTATGTGAGAGATGGACAGCTGCCTTCTTTCCAAATACAAAAAAGAAATATTTATTGGAGATTTTACCATTTTCATGTCATTTTACAAGGATTTATTTTGTTTGTAATATTCTAGACCTTGCTATATTTCTTTTTATTTTAAACCAAAGCATTAGTTTTTTCTTGCGTGACAGGATTATTAATGCATACTGAGTTCTCCACCAAGCTCTGTCTCAATGTCTTATCTATTCCTTTTCACTTCTAATTGGTTCCATGTCTTTTCTATCAAGTGTTTTTTTATTGAAGCAGCATTTAACTGAAATTCCATTTTTAGGTAGTTAATGAAGGCTTTTTCAGAAGCCCAGTTTTCATTTATATGTTTCTGTCTTGCATCCCAGGCAGCCCAAAACATAAGCAAAAATTGAAGGCAGACAATTGCTCTTCACTGGGAAGTCATTGGGCCATGTGTGTAAACAAGGACCCTGTAGATAGTTTTGGTGCCCTTGATTGCCATGTTACATCCCTCTGCTGCAGGTTGAGATAGAGATGGAGCATTTTCCGGAGTTTGAAAATGACGTGGAGTTCACTGAGCGACTCATCTCGGAGCAGTCTGTGTTCTGCTTGCCAGCCACGGTGAGCCTAACACTGAGAGCCCCAAGGAGCTGCAAGGCCAGAGCTGGGTGGGAGAAACTGTAGGGGTTTGCATCCCTGAGCTCTCAGGACTGGGAGCTGTGTATGCAAGTGTCCACAGTAATGTAGTAATGTGTAGGAGCTGGCTGTCAGCTGCCCATGCTGTGTGTGGCAGTCTGTGGCACACTAACAGCCCTTAGTCAGGCTGCCAGGATCTTCCCAACTCCAGGCTTGCCCAGTATTTCTCAGCCTGTCAGAGATGTAGCCCTGAAATCCATATACCTGCACACTTCCTTGCTGAAGGTGCTGTGTTCCTTTCCTCAGTCTGTTTTCCAGTCCCCCACCCCTCCAGACATAGGGAAGGCTGAGAACATCTGTGCCTTGCATTCACTTCCAACACTGAATATGGACAGAGCCTTAAATATTTTCCAGCCCTCTCCTTTGCTAACTCCTTTCAGCCCATTCCCTGCACAGTCCGGTCTTCACAGTTCACACAAAGTCCTCTGGCCTGTCCCCCTCACAGCATCATGTCTACACGATAGAGATGGGAGATTTGCTTGGAACAGGAAAAACGGTCTAAGGGAGCAAGAACAAAGCCCTCCTGTTCTACATTGACTGTATTCATGTGTTGATGCAGCTCATGGTGCCAAGGCAGGGCTCTAAAACTGGCACTATCCCAGGTAATCTGCCAGCTTCATCTTTTCTCATTTCAGTGCTTTGAGTACCCAAACTTCTTCCGCGTAGTGATCACCGTGCCCGAGGAGATGATCTTGGAGGCCTGCAGTCGCATTCAGGAGTTCTGTGAGATGCACTACCAGGGTGCTGAAGGGGCCCAGGATCTGGAGTGTGACAAGTAGCTACAGGTGGCCCCCTGCCTCTGTCAGGCTAGACCTTGTATGAGGCAGCAGCTGGGCAGGCAAGGCTGCTTCCAGCCAGCCCCACCTCTCTCTGCCTTAAGCAGCCACTGTCGTGCTGCTTCACCTTTTGTGGTCCACAGACTCCTCAGCATTATGGAAAGAAGACACTTCTCTCTCCTCCTCCACTAGAGCTTGCACAGTCTCTTGCTTCCAGTCCCCCATGTCTCTGTAGACTCAGCATCTGTGCCCTGTGTTGGTCTGTGCTACCTGTGAACCAGCTGCAGGCAGGGGCAGAAGGTTTTTCCTGGGTTGGGCCCTGTGTCAAAGGCCCTGTTGGCCTGTGGCTCCTGTGCTGGCCACACTTCCCCTTGGGGACAGGACAAGGCTGCTGTCTTGGAGGAGAAGAGAAAAGTACCCACCTCTCACTTCCCTGCGTTACTTTAGGAGGCCAGAGCTCTTTATACCAAGCCCTTTGCGTGATAAAGGGAGTAAGTTATTGTAACTTTTTTACTAATAAAAATTCTGACATGGCAGTCCTGCACTGTCCTACTATTGCGTCAGGTTAGGCTTGGTCACTGTGTGGGTCACCTTTGCTCACCTGATGGTATTTCAGTGTACCAGGCATGTCCCTGCCTGCCCAGGGCCATCCTGTGTGCCAGGAGGGATATGGTGAGAGTGGTCCAGACCCCCAAAGAAACCCACCAACCCTGAGAGCAGGATGGGCCCTGAAAGCTTGACACAGACTGGAGCCAGTCCCTCCTGCTCTGATGATGTTGGCAGCTTGCTGTGGCAGCCTGTCCACTTCCCACAGAACAGTCCTGTCTGCACCTTCTCCTTGACCCTCACAGCCTCCCACACTGTGGACCGCAGCAGAGCAGTGGGTGCTGTGCTTGCTGCTGCAGGGAGGCAACTGTCCCCAGGACTGGAGCCAGCCATGCCTAAATACTCAAGGCTTGGCTTGTCTTTCTTGCTGTAGTGGTGAATCATGGGGTGGCACCCCATGGCTCATAATATATGTGGTGTTTGTGACATGCCAGCGGTACCAGGGTTACTGATTGCTGAATACGTCAGCTCCATAAAGCAATAAGGAACTGGTGGCCTGTTGTCTGTTTATTCAGTGGAAATGGGAGGAGATGATAATGCCCATTGCAACACGTGTTCTGGTGAGATGCTCAGGACCCATTTCTGGAATTCTCAGAGGGGCAACTTGTGGAGTGCCTTATCTTGCCACCTTCAGCTCTGTTCACGTGTCTCCCACAGAGTTGGGATCTACAGGTCAACCCTGCCTCCCCAATGGCAGGAAAAGTGAGCTAGCTCTGGATTACACCAGGCCAGTCCTGCCAGGTTCTACAACGGTCTAATTGTCTCCCCTTACCTTGCCCAGTACAAAATCTGGGTACCAGTACTCCATTGGAAGGGAGGGCTAAATGAGGAAGCAGTATATGAAAAGGTCTTCGACATGTCAGCTGAGTGTCCGTGCTACATCTTTTCCTTTCACAGAAAGCAATCCCAGAACAAAAAGAGGGAGAAGCTGGGGCTATGGTGAATGGTACACAGCTTCAGAGATTTCATGCCATTAGACCTTCAAATAGAGCTGAATAACCAGAACTGCTTAAGACATTGACAAGTAACAAGCAGGGTGGTGTATGAAGGGTCTGTTGGACCAGGAGGCCTTTACAGCATGATGTTGCTGCACAGTTATGCCACCTTGAACCTACTGCAGTTTTCATGTTCCATCTACTTCCTTCAGCTCTTCTCCATGTACCTTAGGTTCTGTGGCTTTAGTCCCCATTACTAATAAACAGATTCTGATTTTAGAGAAAGCTGATCCTTTGAGATCACTCTTCCTTCAGGAACCCCTTTTCTTTCTGAGTCCTCTCAGAGATGTCTGCTAACATGCAAATATTCCGCATTAATTAACACAATGCTGTTTCTTTTTGACCCAGCCACATTTGACTGAGAAGGCTGACAGAGCCAGAGACATAGGCATATATATACCTCATAAATCTCAGGATATTTTGATTTCTCAAGGCCACATCCTCCATTGTCATCTTTTGTAAACATATCCTTTTGACCACACCTAGGTTTTCCCTGATGCAATAGCAAACTAGCATTAAACCACAAATGTGCTGGTATCATTTTTCAGGTATTATACTCACAGGTGCTTTGCGTCATAGTGTGGGCGTAGGTTAGAGCACCCTGCCAGCCATACAAACTAGCCTAAGTTGGGGTTTGGAGGTACTCTGTGCCAAAGGAAACCCCTGCAGCATTGAGACCAAGGAAGAAGTCAAGACACAGATCTGAAGCTGCTCTTTGGAGATGCTCAGACAAGATCTGCAGAGTTTTAGCAGAGCTGCCCCAGTGCCCTTTTAACTCATTGTGGGAAAATAAGGGAAGATTGGCAAGGAGGATTGTAAATACACTCAAGTGTCTTGCAGGTGAAGTGTAGAAAAACATATACTAATAGTTTAGTCTTGTGTGTTTGGTAAGTGGAGCATCTCTTTTTATATAACATAGGCCTGTGCTAGACTTAGAACCACCCTACAGAATATGCTTGGCATTCCTGCTTTACTGTGGTAAAGATCAAATCTCAATGGTAAACTATGCCTGCAATAATCCCTGATATACTTGTGAAAACAGCAGGTTTGGTGATCCTTGAGCATGGACTAGACTCCACAGTGCTGGCATCTCTGTTAGTGTGCCTCTGCCTGGGTCCTGCTTGGAAGATTCCCTGGTTGGTGAGGTAATGGAAGTAAATTTACTCTGCATGTCATATGTGTTTTGGCGGTCGTTACTGCATCCTGCCTGTGCCGCTCACACGCCGATCCACAGCCATCCTCCCTGCCTTAGCTGGGGAGCAGCAGTGGTACGCCCTGGCACAGGCTTGCATTCTGCATCTGCCCTTTGCTGTGCTGTCTGGGCTGGCCATGTTTAGGATTAGGGTGATTTACCTCAGATATGGGGACCTAGGCAAGGAGGCAACCTCGTGCCTAGGGCTCTGTTTGGGAAATGAAGGAACTTCTCATCTTGAAGTGTACTAGTCCTCAGCTTCCAAAGGGACTGGCAGTAGGTTCAACCCCGACAGGGAAACTGGCACTGCAGGCAAGCTGGGACAAATTGCACCTGCCAGCAGTGAGATCATTAGTTCCCCCAGGTGTTTTAGGAACCTCAATGTAGCCTGGCTCCTGGCACTGGCCTCACCCACTCAGTAGCCCTGACTGCCTTCAGCTGGTCTATAGACCAAAGGAGAGGTCCCTGAGGGTCTTCCTGCCTTGGGGCCACGGCCTTTGGCTGCAAGAGCCTGTCTACACTAGCCTGCTCTCTACCATCATGTAGCCATGCTGTACACCTGCAGTGGAAGATGTGGTTTTCACTGATTTGGACCCAGGATAGTTGCAAGGAGCAGTCCGGGGGATGATTGTGGAGGTCCTGGTGAGCCAGAGCTCAGCCTTTCCGGGGGCTCAGGTAAGGCCTGAGCAGTATGTGGCAGTGGAACCCCAAGAGGAAGTGTCTGTGAAAAACTTTGTATGTGAGGCCTAGCATATAACCTTGTTCTCCCAGGGCATGCTGCTTTGTCAAGGGCCAAAGGAGCTGACCTGCTCTGTGGTATTACCCACCAGAGGCACATACAGTTTTCCACAAGCATGAAAAGTGGTCAGGAAGAGACTGTGGATGTAAGAGGAGGTGGCAGCAGTGGGCTGGGAGACACTACTTACTCGAGTTGAATGGGAGGGATTTTGTAAACCAGAGTGTGAGAGTGTTGAGGAGCTCTGTAAGATGAGGAAGGCTTAGCATGGTCAAAGTCATGCCATTGGCAGGACAGCCACGCAAGACGCATCCTCAGCAGGGTTCCAATAGCTAGGAGGCACCTACCAAGCTAGCTAAGCTTAACAACCGGTCAGAACAATGTTGAAGTTTTGTGTTCTACACTAGCCTTCAGCCTCGGTTCCCAGCACTGGGAAGAGCCTTCTGAAGGGCAGAAGCACTGGAATCTTCCTCATGCTTTGACTGTCTGGCATGGGCTCTTGCAGTGCTGGGAGCCAAGATCAATACCAGCCCTTTACTTTGTCATATACTGTCTTTGTTTTCCTTATTTGTCTTGGGTCAGTGCTCCCTGAAGCTTTGCCAAAGCAAAGAGGTGTTGTCAATAAGTCCGAATGACTTATTTCCTGGATACCTGACAGAAATAGTTGGTGCTAGCACAGGGTCTTCTGCATTCCAGTGCGTTGCATGGGCTATGTATGCTTCAGGTCTGCTTGTTGCTGTTGTTTCTCTCAACTCTAAACTAGCTGTTGTGCTCCCACTTCAGTTCCTGTGCTGATTTCCAGTTTTAGACTGCCTACGTACAGTCAGAAGAAGGCAGAAGCTGACCAGTGAAATTAATTCAAAAGTTGAATATATATATTTTTTTCTTACTATTTTTCCCATTTCTGTAATGTGTTGGTAAAATATTATGTGACCTCCTTCTTTCTCTTGTGTTTTCTCATTTTCCTGTTCCCCCACTACTTGACATTAGAGTGCTGTATTAAAATGAAGGCAAGAAATGATACTGCAACTGTGCAAGGGTGAGAGAGGGAGACAGCCACTATCCTTGCTCTTGCCTGACACAGCTTTGGGTTATGTACCAATTCAGACAAGTCTATTTATCTCAAACTGCCTCTAAATAAAAATATAACTTTAAAACTTACTTCAAACACAAGAAAAAAGCCACAGGTGCATCAGCCTGTCCTTGGAGAGATGCTGCCATGTAGGACACCATATCAGTCATTTGTCTCATTTTTCCTCGTTCTGGAAGGCATATGGGGCAACATCTGCTCTAGCTCAGAAAGAACTTGCTCTGACTGGAATTTAACATAGGCATTGCACCTCTGCTCCTATGCATTCTGGAGCTTCCCTCACAGCTGCATTCTTTCCATCTTCTATGAATGATGACTTCTAAAGAAATCTAAAGAAACCAGGGTGACTGTATACAGCATCCCTACCAAAAAAAAGGCTTTTCTAAAAGCAGAATTCCCTTCTGTTGCCTTCATCCCATTGAAAGTAATGAGCAATTGACACAGAGATTTTTTTTTTTTTTTTTTTTTTTTTTTTTTTAGATTACTGTCAAATTTATTTACTGCAAGGAGCAGGGTTTTTCTTGTGCATTTCAAAATACAATACAGCAGTACTCAAATCCACTGATCATCACAGGAGACCATGCATGGCCCTTGTGTGAACAGCAACATTGCAGAGCCATAAATTTTAATTTTCCTCTACAGCTTCAGAAGCGTAAGCTAGAAAACAACTGAAATCTCTCTGCTTTGAAAGGGAAACATTCACCAATGCATAATCACAGCATTGACTCTTACAGCAGCTCCCCAGCATCATATGACCTTTGAGATGCAATACAATACAGCAGTACTCAAATCCACTGATCATCACAGGAGACCATGCATGGCCCTTGTGTGAACAGCAACATTGCAGAGCCATAAATTTTAATTTTCCTCTACAGCTTCAGAAGCGTAAGCTAGAAAACAACTGAAATCT